ACTTTCAGTAATTATCGTTAATTAGAGAATATTAATTATTATATCACATATAAGGTCTCCACTTTAATAAATTTTATTATTTTATTATCTTAATATATAGTTGATTAATATCATAAATCATTATTTCATATATTATAATATATTTTTTTATCATTTACCATTCTATTGTTAATAAAAATATTTGTTTTAGGAAATAAGGAAAATACAAACAATTTTCGTGAGTCATTAAGTAAATTTGACTCAAATAAATCTCCTAAAAACAGTTCAACATGGATAAAAAATAGAAGACTACGTAACAATTGTCAGCATGTTACTAGTACAGTTTCATTAGATGCTTTTAATTTTCCAACTGATAACCAAAATTTGGAACGTGTAAAAACATCACCAAACCTTATAAGCTCAGAAATTAGCTGCCAAAAATCTGAAATGCCTATTGATATGGATGCTACAAGACGTGAACGTATTGAGCGTTACAAAGAAGAACGTAGGCAAGCTCTCCGTGAACGTTTTAAAACATCTGAGAGTATTCCATATGATGATGATATAATTAAACGTCTACGAGCTAAGACATTGAAATCTCCAGACGAATGTACTGAAAATAATATTAACACATCCATTAAACAACCAAAACATTTAGTAAAGATAATAACTTATGATGAACGTGACACTTTATCTATAGACCCTGAAAAAAAAGAATGGTATACACAAAGTTTAGAACGTAAAAAATGTGCTAAAAAAGAAACTAAAGGTCTAGTAGCATCAAGAGTAAATCAGTTGATTGGATGTACAACTTCCTCTGACGAAATTAATAACAAAACTGCTTTGAAAACTAAAACAGATAAACAGACTTCAAAGTACATATTTTTACATGAATTTAAATAAATAATATATTATATTGTCAGGTAAATAATATTGTAATATATTTTGTTACAGTTCGATACGGCAAAGAGCACATAGTACTAGTGATAGACCTCCTCAATTTTGTATAAAAGATATGGCAGCATTCTTCGAACAAAAACAGTAAAAAAAATTGATATATTTAATTAGTTTATTTATACATTGATTGTTTATTATCAGTTTTAAAATAAATGTAATCGTTAGAAATAATGATTTAATTTAGTAGTTTTAAATAAAAAGTTATTTTATTTATTAAGTTACTAAATTATAATTCTGTAATTTCATGACAAATAACAAAAATTAAACCATTAATCTCTAACAATTACATCATTTTTAGTTATAAGCTGTTATAAAATATATAAATTATATATTTATGTCCTAATTAAGTTTAAAAATGTCGTTTTGTTATTAAAACTAATTCTGTGATAGTGATTTTTTACCAGGTCTGTATTTTAGATCTTGTGAAATATGTTGTAGAGTATAATATAATGTTTGCTTTTTTTAATCATATCATATTTCTAATATAATATGAAGAAACAAATGATGACACTTTTAGTGAAAACCTATATGTTCTTTTATAAATTCTATTGTTGTTTAATGGTTTTCTTTTAATAAAAGCAGTTAGTGTAAACTAAGCATTATTTAGTATGTCTTAAAACAAACATAGTTTCTTTTTAAAATTGTGTATTATTTTTTGATAACACTCAATAATTAAATAAAATATGATAATTCATACTTCCAACTTTGGCCAAAGATAAAATTATAGTCAATACTCAATACAATTTGAATGTATGCCAAATGTAAAATTTACTCTTTAGTCTGAGAGAGTATAAATATCTAATATAATTTTGACTGTATGGTATATTTTTAATTATTATTATTTTATAATCGTTATAATAAAATCTTTCTGAGATGATACATGACAATAGTTTTTTTGACTTTAACATTACTTTTTAAAACCAGATCTTCTACTTCAATAAAAGTATTATAATGTACAACTGTACAAGTAACTTCTAAATCATTGATTTTCAAATGGTTAAATGTTTTTTTATTTAACATGACATATTACACTGTATTCAATATTTTAATACAAACCAGTTGTGTTGTAATTGTATTAAAGTATTTTAAAATGTTTTAAATTACAACATTGCTAACTTAGTTTTATAAACTAACTACTAAAGTTGAATAACTTTGTTTTACTATTATTTTGTTTTATTTTTGTATCATTGCTATTACTTTATTTAATTTACTACTTAGACCTTATCAATTAACTATAATTTAATTCATAATTTTAATATGTAAAATATTATGCTAATACTTGTTTCCTCTTTGTTTATGCGTTTATTAGTCATTTGTTAAATTATTTGAGAATGACAACATTTAGTATGTTAATCATCAATTAACTTAAAATGTATTTATAAGTGATTGTAGGTAATCAATGTATTAAAAATATTTCTCATTAAGTATTACCCCTATTATTCTGTCTCTGTGTATATTTTTCACAGTTTTAATTTTATTACTATATTTTTTTATGACTGTCAATAACTTAAAATGTTAATTTTGCTAGTTAAAAATATAGTATCTAGCCGAATAATTAACAAAATGTTAAGCTACTCTTAGAATGTTATGCACAAATTGTAAAAACATGTATACTTAAGTGTTTTCTTTTAAGTTTATATTATTATTATTATTATTATATATTTTTTTTTACTTTACCTGTAACACCAAAATTAACAAAACAAAAAAAATACCATTTTCTGTTTGGCTTTTAAACAAAAATACATAACAATCATTGAAAACAGATTTTGAATTTTGATATTATTATTTGATGAAACAATCATTGCATAACATGTACCTTCAAAACACAAACAGTGATGAAACAGAATAATCAGGAAAAATATACATCAAGAGTTTTTGTAACCTGTTTTTAAAATTTTCTTTCAATTTCCAGTAAATATCCTTATGACTAGGTTTCAAATTATTTGTATAAAATCAGGTTTTCAAATTTAAAATTAAACTACAAAATAATTTGTTACTATTTGTGATTTGGACGAATGTTGTACAAATTTAAACTTAAGCGCTCATACATTTTTTTTACTATATAGTTTCGATATATTTGAAATACAGTAAGTACAGCTTATGAGGAACCTTGAATTTTTATTTTTATTCAAAAAGAAAATTCAAATTGAAAATAAAGTCAACATTTCAAATATCCCTAAGTACTGTAGCACAATAAAGACAAAATATTTTGAAAATGTTAGCAAATCTAGTACAACCTAATATGAATATTTTATAAAAATGTCTAGTCTACAGTAATTTTTTTTTTTAGTTATAAAAAAAAATAATTTTGTCAAAACTATTTTCGAATTTGCTTAAACATTTTTGTCGCAATAAAAGAAAATATGTCATTGTAAAATGAATGCATTTATCACTCCGTTTAGAATCTTAAAATGTTTTGAACTTTGTAGATGATTTACGGTATCTAATTGTATGTATAATTTATAACACATTGTATAATTGGTATTTGGTGCTTCGGGGTCAAAATTTAAAAAAGTAAGAAATTTCCAGTAAGTATTTATTTTCCTGTTCTAATATCTTTCTGTTGCGAATGGAGTGTTCTCCAAATTACCTAACGGCTAACTAATATATTAAAATTTAGTTTATGGACATATCGAACGTTTCTGTAGTGTACCTATTTTACCCATACAATTGTGCAACATTATTATTTATTATATTCTGTGGTAGTAATTATAAAATATCGAAGTAGTAAAATGCTCAAATCGGGTATAAAAGAATGAGATGGTAAGGTTTTTATTTCAAGTATGGTTTATTGCTGATATACCTATTTAATTTATCATGGTTGAAACTCGAAACTACGATTACATAATATTTTCTTCGTCTTTGATTTACTATCTGTATCTGCAGCTACTGCAATGCTGTCTGTGTTGAATGATTATAATTCAGTTTCTAACTCATAATTCATATATCATTACGACATTACGACTATACTGACATCTCTATTATATTATACAAAATCATCACCTGCAATTTTTAGCATAAATTGAAAATTTATATTATATAAGCCATCTGTCTAGAAATAAATTAAATCCGAATTAGGTACATTATTTATTTATTCTTATTATTTCTTTTGTATTTAAGAAAAAGCCTCGATAACGAGACCATAGGCTTGTTTTTACATGATACGGGCTTAAATAATTTAAACTAAATTGTACAGTTTAATATTTTTCATTTATTTTATATTATTTACAATAAGGTACTCCTCGCTTACGCTATCTATACCAAAGATGAAGCATAAAGTACATTTTGGCGTATTAAGTGCGATAGTTAAATTACAAATATTTTTCATAAATAATCATAGATTTTTGATGGATTTTTTGTCGGGGCCTATTGCATCGCGAAGGTGCTCAGGTATGTTGTATTTTTGTCGGGTCTCTTGCGTGTCTCTACATTCTGTAATGATGTGTTTGATCGAGGTCGGATATTCGCATGCAAGACATGTTCTTGGTGGCTTTTTTCATGAGATTGCCATGCGTGTATTGTGTATGACCTAGAGAAACTTGTGATTTTAAATATAGTAATATCAGGATCTGTAGTTATAAAAAAATATGTATATGTCATATGTCTGGGGGGGGGGGAGGGCTGGGCCCCTAGCCCCCCCCCCCTGGATCCGTCACTGCATCAGATGCCTTATTTATTATTATTGTTCTGTGCTATTAGAAATTGGGATACAAGACCGTGTGCGAAGCTGTAGACTCGCCTGTCCCGTACGGCCGTACTACCGTATGGCGTATTGGCGTATCATGTATCATGTATGAACAAACATTTGGTTATACTGTTGTGTGGTTTTAGTGTTATACCCATGAACTAAGATATAAGGTCAGCTTAGTTCATGGTTTTACCCCTCTCTTCATTATCTATGGTTTTACCGCAGTCCCAGAGACCACAGAATACTGAAGATCACATACTGTGGTTTCATGGTTATGGAGTATGGTTGAAAACTAATCACTTACCATGGTTGTAGTGAAATGTTTGCTAACGGTTCATTTTTCCATGATAATTCACTATTGTTTGATTACATTTATCCATAGTTCCTACTTAATTGATGGCTGATGCGTCTGCCGCTTACATTGGACGTTTGCACATTTGCCATTTGCCACAATTGTACTGTACCTACTCTATAGAATTTTCTTATAGCGGTATTGCACAACATTTCAATCGGCTCTTTTTGTTTATCTACATATTTCTATTAATTTTTGTATCGTTCCATTTAGTGAGTTTTTAGTAACGAAGAATACGTTGAAAACGTTGTCCATCAATACAATTTAAGTTCATGTGTGGTAGGAGACGCATAACTGAATTTAGTGAGACGTAAGTATTCATTGACGTTTTAGGGTATAGTTTAGATGATGATGATATTGTGATAAATGCTGATCACATCAACCAATTGAACCAAATTACGATATAATTTAATAATGTGATTTTTATATTGTAGTGCACCATGTCAAGAAGCAAGAGCCGTAGCCGCTCTAAGAGCAGAAGTCGCAGCCGTTCGCGCAGCCATAGGACATCACGCAGCTATTCTAGAAGCCGTTCGGGGTCAAGTCGCAGCCGCAGTCGCAGCAGGAGCAAGACACCAGTCGATAAACACAGGCTCCATGTCAGAGACATTGGTTAGTGCTTAACTACTTTTAGATCAATTTCACTAATGACTATTCAAGGCTATTAAAATTTTTAGTACAATTAAATAATAACAATTAATACATTTTAATTATTAACTAAATAGTTATAAATAAACCAATATTTTTGCTTTGTAATTAGGTAACCCTTTGTAGGTACATCCTCCATTCTTCAAACTTAGTCATTTAAATACATTAAAATAATAATTATAAGAATATGTAAATATATAAATAAATAGGTGTCTATTTGGTAATAATAATCTATGAATTTTTAATTAACAGTGTTGAGTTAATACAGTTAATATTTGATAATTTAAAATAATATTTTCCTCATAAAACTGTAGCAAACTTATTTTTATTAATGAAAAACGATTTCACTGAAATCAAAAATTGGATAGCTTGGTTTATTTGTTGAATCCATTAAATGGCCATAACACATACTGAAAAATGTATGGTATTTTGGTGGCCCAATTATAGGATCTGTTTAAAATATAATGCTTTCTACTTGTTGAGTTTAATACTTTAGAATTATTAATAAAGCTGAACTTAACAATTGTAAATAAACGTTTAAATCAAGATTGACTTAAATAGTTTGATCCAAACACAATACTTTTTATTTATTATACAATATCTAGTATGTATGTGGCCTACTGTGGTACAGTGTCTGGGGCTTCAGTGATCACTCGGTTTCTTAGTGGCAAATCCTTGCCATATATACATGTGTTTGAACCTGCCTTATCAACTGTAACTCCTACAATAGCTAATGGCCATAGTTTTCGGGCTCAAAAACATTAATTAAAAAAAAAATTCCTTATATAATAGTTTTATTGTATAAATATACCTTATTTAACAAAGTTTAATTTCAAATAGTTTGTACTCAACAACAGAAAAATGTAGTAGTCTATTTATATTTTTACAAACATTAAATCTATATATTTTGTATTAAATGCTTTACTATACCTACATGACGTGTTGTCTTCATCTTACAATCGTACTACATAGCAAAAATTGTTTAGGGGATAGAACAACTCAGGCCGTAGTCCAACCAAATTCTCATACTATTAAGAGGATAATATTTACCGTGCTACATTATTTTTATTTTTTCTATATCACAAATACAATAATATTTCTTATTGTTTAAAAATTCATAATTTCACACTTTAATAACTTTTTTTGTATTTGTGATGTCAAAAAAAATAAAAACAATGTTGCATACTAAATGTACTCCCCTGAATAGTGTGAAAATTTGGTTGTTCAGCTTGGAGTACAGCCTGAGTAGGTTTATCCCATGCAAAACAATTGTTGGTATGTTGTACGTTTGTAAGAGACAGACGACACAGTGGGTGTGGCGTCTTTTTAAACATTCAAAAATATTTCCTTATACTCATCTTTAATTTTTGCATTATTCAATTTAATTAAGTTAAGGTAATTATTAATAGGTAACTCTACAACTCTTAGATAATTTATTCTTTAGTTTACTGGTGCTGAATTGAGTATAAACAAACCATTTAGGTTTATTGAATTAATTTTTTATATTTAAATTAAAAATACATTTTACTTAAATTATAAGTATTGAAAATAATTAAAACATATATTCTTTCATGGTAAAGTTTAACTTAGAAAATCACTTTATTTGTATGCAACATGAAAATATTTTATAGAATATATATTAACAAAAGCTTTGAAGTAATTATTTTATCAGATAATGAAATATATTATTGTAAATTTCAGTTAATTACTGATGATGTATTTATTCACTGAATTAGGAAGCAGCATAACGAGACGTGATATTGAAAAAGAGTTTGAACGATATGGTACATTACTAGAAGTATGGATGTCAAGAACTAGACCAAGTTTTGCTTTTGTTGTGTACAAAAGAGATAAAGATGCAGCTGAAGCACAGAAACGTACTAATGGAATGTAAGTTACAGCAAAGAATATTCAATAATTAATATATTTTTTTACATTCAGTTACAGTTTTAATCTTAAGTACAATTATATATGATAATAACTGTATAAAATAAACTATATATGATTTTCAGTTGCTAAGCTTAAAAAATGTGGTATAAAATAGTGCATTACCTGCACTTGTTGTTTCTATTTTAATATAGACAATTTACAGTTCGCAGTTAGCTTTTAGCTTTGTTTAGAGAAAATTGATCTATAATGAAACTTAATCTTAAGAACATACACTGTGTTCGTGTATTGATTTTTTCAATAGTTCATTTTTTAAGCGAGTTTTGAGTGTATAAAAAGGGCAATTTTAAAATGCTCAACTCTCTAAAATATTGAATTACCCTAATAAGTATGTAATATGTATAACATATTGTGAATATTTTTCTCTATGCAACTGGTATTAATGTTACATCCAATGTGTTTGTATCTAGGGAATTGTATGGAAGCTTCTTAACTGTTAGTTTTGCAAAAACACGTGGACTCAGTCGTAGGTCATCAAGAAACAACAGTTATCGCGATTCACTTAGATGCTACTCTTGCAATCGTGTAGGACACTTCTCACGTTCCTGTAAAGAAGTCAACTATGGTTACAGACGTTAAGGTAATTATGTTTATTAATTAATAAATACAATTTTCTTTGGAAATATATTTTCTAATTTATGATGTGTATTTCTCATATTATAATTATGTATCTGATGAACAATTATTGAATATTGATCAACCATTGTAACAACTTATACAATAATACATATAATACATAATTTTAGTCTCGCTAAAAGTTAAAATAAGAAATTAAGGAATGCTCACACATTGGTTAATTGGTACAACAGAGTATTGATATAATTTATTCTATATTTCCACATTTTCTAGGTGTTATACTTGATAAATAAATTAATGATCTTGAGGTTTATTTTGTAAATAATGTTTTATTTAATTGGTGTCGGCTCTATTTATTACATTTATTATAGAGGTGTTGAATTATTTTTGCTTGCAGTTTATTAAACTATAACAGTTTTTAGTTTGAATATATGTTTAAAGGAAATTTAGTTATAATACTTAAATATGTTTAAAATGTGAAAAGTTTTTCTTATATACTCAGTTTTTTAAAGCTATATTAGTTTTAATACTTACAATAGTTTATTTTATAACAATAATTTAAGTTTAATTGTATTAAATAAAATACCAGATATGCGATTTTTTACAAAGTTGAATTCATGCAATCAAATATTTTAAAATTATAATTAGGTACAAAAAATGTATTTTAACTTATTGTAATTTTAGTTATTTAATTATTTATATTTTTAATAGGAGAAATGCATTTTAAAGTTTATTAATTTGTATTCAAATATGTTCCATTCTTCACTTTTATCACTTAGCATGCTGTTTAGTAATCACTTTATGTATATTTATTTATCATTAAAATCATGAAGATCATTGGATCATTAATTTTAAATATTATCGTACGAAACAAAATCAATAAAAACAGAATAACAAATAAATAATGAAGTTGACGTAAAGGTTCACTACTAATTGTGTTGTACTTAATTAAAACTTAATATATGGTTTATTTTTAGTATAATATAAATTACAGACATACGGTTTTAGTATTTTATGTTTAGCTTTTTCTTTTAGTATATAGATACATAGTAAATAAACTAGATTGATTCTTTAATCCTTGAAAATCTGGCATGTGATTAAATCATCACAATTTCTTTTTAATTTGCAACTTCTTATACTGAGTGATTCTTTTATCAAAGAACATTCATTATATTCATAATATTTTTGCATAACATATTTTTATCGTTACCTATAATTTTTTAAGTTTTTAATTTTCTGAATAACTAAATACAATTTTTATTTCTTATTTCAAACCAGAATATTTGTTGGAAGTAATTTGAAGTATGAAAATCTAATTTTGGAAGAGTAGTTCATGAATTACAACTTATAAGTATTTAAAGTTCCCCGTGAAATGTCACTTTACTACTCTATTTAAAGTTAAATATTTATAATTAATTAGTATCAAGACATACATAGATTGTGTATCAGAATACTGCTTTAGAATATGAAATAAAAAATGTATGTTCTCTTAGGTACACAACAGTAAAAAACTTGAGGAATGATATGATAAAATATTTTTAAAAGATTAATAATTTATTTTTTCAAAAATGGTTCTAGATAGAGATCGAGTCTTAAATAAAATATTAATCCTATGTACCTATTCAAAATTATGAATAGTGTTTTAATTTTTTATTATTAGTTAGTAAATAGTGTATTATCTATATGTGTATTGTTATACTATGAATTCCTATAAATTGTATTACTTGCTTTGATGAATATCTTATGCTGCTTTTTTAACACTTTAATCTTAACTTGCTTACTATAATAATATTCCTAATGATGTAGAGAGATTTTTATGTTTTATTTTCTTAAACATTAGGAAAAAACTATTTCTACATTTCAAATAATTGTATTATGAGCTATTTTGTGCATTCTAGTTGAAAAATTATTTATGTTTCAGACAACTCAAATTGTGTTTAAAAGTAATAACACTTTATTTCCATGTTTGTATACTAAAGTTTTATTATTTTTTAATTCCATAGATAAAGTTTTTAAAAAAAATGTTTACTTTTACAATAATAAAATATATTTTTTTACTTAAAAAGTATCTATTTTAGTACAAATATTATGGCATGGGATTTTATTAGCATTTACAAAATTTACTGGTGATATTTTAGTAGTAGATAAAGAATTTAAAAAAGGTTATATCTACATATCCATGTACATTTAATTTAAAAACTGATCAATTCAGATAACTGATTAATAGTTAGTACTGTCCTATATTGGATATCATATTGCATTTTATTCATGATCATAGTTATTAATTAATAAAAAAAAGTGTTTTTAGTTTAAGTTTAACATATTTAAATGGTAAAAAATGCATTTATAACATAATTATACTTACTATTTGATTTTTATAAAATTGTGTAAAACATCTACCACCCACAAATATATTAAAGTATAAAATTCTTCTATATTCTTCCTCAACTCTCCAATTTATATATTTATATAAATAAACAATGGATTTCTTTTTATTGGACTAATTTTTAGCAAATAACATCTTTAACTTAATTTAACGTAAAATTTAAAAAAAAATTCGTATAAACAATATTTATTTCTTTTTGTAATTATTCTTATCCTTTTGATATCTAATTTAATTATATCCATATAAAATAGTTTGAATTTTATATTCATATAGGAGGAATGTGAGTTGTTATGGTTAAATGAACTTAATTGGGGCGTCATTTGCCAATGATGATGATGGTGTTGTTGATATTGATGGTGTTGATTTGATGGTGTTGATTTGATGGTGGTCATGACACCAGTATGTTCCTCATTGTTGGCACAACATGATGGTGTGGTAGATTTTTATACAGGGCGAGCTCATCGAACGCCGTCCAATTTGTCAAAACTGTAATATGGTAGGTATAAGGTGTGTATTTAATCAGTGAAATGGAAAGTCTAGGATGTATAATTTTTTTATTTGACCTGTTCTATAATTTATGTTGTATTAATTTGTACTGATAATAGCCATGTCTCAAACAATTAATGCATGCTAAGAAAACAATAAATATTTGATTTTTCTTTTAAATGTTTAACTATTTGTTGTATACAGATTACAAGTTTATTATTTATTCAATTTATATATACATATATTATATATTATTTATTTATATATTCATAAAATATGATCAATAATGAACATTTTAAATACTCTTACATACAAATATTATATATGTATATGTATATATATAAGTATTTGTATATGTATATGTATATGTACACTGTAAAGGATATTCTTTGAAGACAAATGAATTTGAAGTGGTGTGGTAATGAAAACTATATTATCATAGCAGTACAAAATGACTACGTTTTCATAGGATATACTGTATAATGTACCGTATTGTCTGATTTATGTTGAATATTAAAAACATATAAAAGAAAAAAGTTATTTAAGGTATTTCTTCGATTTAAATACTACAGTATATGATTTTTCAATAGGCTTTAATATTTTTATTATTTTTATACAATATATTAATAAAATTTTAATTAAAAAATGTATTTATGTTTATACAGGTGCTGCTGACTGGACATCACCTACGAAAAGGATAATTTGTTTTTAATATTGAATAATATTCTCACATCAGTTTTGAACGATAGTAGTTTATATTTTTATTTTCATGAGCCAGAACTTATATATTGGTTATTATGTATCACTTAATTGATTTTGTTTGCTTATTTCAACCTGGATTTTTTTTAAATATTATTACACCTACTTAAATGGATTCAATTTGTAGGTATGTTATCGAAATAAATCTTTTTTTTTATAGTTGGAAATACTTTTATTTTTATCCACATCAATAAATTAATATAACTAATTGTCATTACTTAACATTTATATATATTAATTAAAACATCATCCTTCCTTACAACTGTTGTAAATAATTTACAATTGATTTAATTAAAAAAAAAAAAAAACAATAATTTCTCTTTCAAATTCTTAGATTCTGATTTCTTCAATGAATATATTGGTTTTACAATGATGTATTTATGTGTGTGTGTGTGTGTGTGTGTGTGTGTGTGTGTGTGTGTGTGTGTGTGTGATTGTTTATTTTTTATGAGTCATTTGGATCAGTAAAAATGCTTCCATCTTCAACTTTGAGAGTGGTTTTTGCTAGTAAGTCGAATGTAATTTGTACATTAGATATATCTTACATAAAAATTAAGCACTTCATAATAATCTGGAAAAAACAAATGAGTTAATAACATCTTTGTTAGTGAAAAAAAGGTTGAACTGAAATACAAGGTTCCTCTAAAATTCTTAACCTAATAAAAATATTAAAAATACCCAGTCAAATTTCTTCTACAAGCATTTAAACTCCAGATTTTTACCAACATCTTGATTAAAATGTAAATAATTTTGTGGTTGAAAATTCATTAAATTTTTTATTTTAACTGTAATTTAAGGTTTCTCATAAATTGTATTTAGGCAACCCATGTATACATGCTTACATTTTTACCTGACTAAAAAAAGAAAAACAATTAGTTATTTTGTTGGAAATCAAAAAAATATCTGCAGGGAGTTGGCATTTTTTGCCATCATTTAAATTAATATTTATTATTCACAATGCAATTTTCAAGAAAGTTAGATTTATTTTAAGATATTTGTTCTACCGTTATAATGGTATGTCTGGTGGTCAGTACTGGGTTTATGTGTTAATAAATGATTATTGAATAAAATATTCAAAAATGTTTTTAATATTCATGCCTAAGATTTGATAATCAACATAAGGTTCTTTATGAGTAGTTCATATTGTAACCAAAAATAAAAAATGTTACACAATTAATTCTTTAGAAATTTTACGTTTAAATGATATGAAATTAGTTATTTAGTTAAAAATTAAAAATTAAGGATTTTTGTTATTTTGTTGTAATGTTAAAATATGGGTACTTGAAACAATTGACAATTGTTCATTTTTATTAATTATTATATTTTATACACACAATGACATATTTTAATGAAATGTTCTTGGAAAAAATTAATTCAACATACTGTGTATTAATGATGATGAAATAAATTATTCATATAGGCTGACGGATTGTCTTAGCTCAGAATAATTTTACGTATACAATTCTAATTCAGCACATACCTACATTACTGTGACTTCTTCTGTGATAAAGATACTCAAGATACCTTCCTACAGTAAAGTGGTTATTACTTATACTTCTTTTTAGTTTATTCATACCAATGAGTTTTCAATGTTATTGTTATTCAACATGGTTTGTATAAATCTTTTCATCATTATCAAGTATCACAAGTTACAACTAGGTTGATACCTTATAAACTTTGATTTGGTTATTAGTTATTTAATGTTAACAAATTATTTAATCAAAATAATAAATTACTTAGGTAGGTATGTAATATACTAATATTAGTAATATTATATGACTTAAAAGGTTAAAAAAAATTAACCATAAGTATTCAACTATTATAATATTATAATTTTCATCATAACCATTTAAAAATAGTAAAATAAAAACATGTCTTTAAAATTTTTTTTAAAATTATTTTTGCAATAATTAATCACAACTATTGTTGATTGTTATGAAAACATACCTACCTAATCTAATAAATTACCTATTCTTTCAATTAGTAATGAACAATATTATAGGTAGGTAACTGATGATATAAAAAAAAATGATACCCACCTCTCAAACGTTGGTAAATCTCAGAGGCAATTGCTTCTAAAATTATTTTTTGTCACGCACTAATGGACTACCCATATATCATTGTATCCATGAGTATATAAATGTACAAACATTATAAGTGTTATTACGACTTGGCGAGAAAGGGAAGAGTGGTCAGTAGCCGGTAGGAAATAGGAATGTGTGAGAATGAGAGATGAGGATGTCTATCATCAAACGTGACGCCTTAAAACTCTTAACCTACTTACGTAATTTTGAATTGGTATTTGACGCTAAAACCTCTCAAAGTGGAATATTTATTAAATATGCAGGCATGCAGCCAATAGCCGTGTAGGACGTGTAGGTACCTAAGGTACCTAAGGATACATAAACTTATAATATTACATAGGTACCTATGTTTTTATTTTAATTTGGAACATAATTACCTATTCCTATATTTTTTAGGTATCTACGTATGTACCCAATAAAAATATGTATAAAGGCTTGTTATACAGAGTGATTTCACCAAGCATGATCACCCTCTTTTTTTACAATAATGTAGTTATTTAAAATCTGATTTTTAGAATTTTTAAATATACTTAAGGACAGTAATATTTTCTATTACTTGAGATATTTTTATACAGTGTCCTGTAGAGATGCAAATTTCTGTTTTCAAATGAGAACCCCTATTATTTATTGAAAATTATTTAGTGGAAATCTTTTTTGAACATTTTGTTGTAGGTAACTAGTTCAAAATTTGAACGAGTAGTTTTCGAGTTATTTAACTTCGTGTATTAATCCATGATAATGGATTTTGAAAATATGGGCTTTGTTGATTTGTAAATTTTAGTGATTAATATTAATCTATGAACATTAATATATTGTAAAAATGGTCCAAGTACGAATAATAAATAGGTACCTATTAGGTTCAATATAACATATATTATATATTTATGTAAAATAAATATATAATAGGATACTGGATAATAGTCCATAGACTTCAGTACATAACTTAAATCTATAACTAAACTTGTTCAAATTTTGAATTAGGTAGATATATAAAAATGTTCAAAAAAATCTACTAAATTATTCAAAGTAAAAAAAGCCTAAAAAATAACTGTATTCATACCTAGATTTTTTAGATTTTTTAGTTACGAAAACCTTGTTTTAAATTTTCAATTCTTAGCTATAAAAGTTGAACATTTCATACATTTTTAACTACAAAATCATTTTCAATTTTATAAATATTGTCGAAATTTGAACTTTAAAAGCTTATAAAAAATTATTTATAGAAAAAAAATTAAAATTGAAAATGTCTGTCAAAGCGTCAACAGCTTAAACAATTTCAAATATTTTGAAAATTGTATCAAGTATATGAAGTGTATGAAATGATGAAATAAAGATTTGGTGTAAATTTCAAGTGTCTACAGTAATTCGTTTTTGAATTACAACAAAATAAGAAAATCGCTACAAGAGAAATCGAGTGAATATCCAATGTTGTAAAAATTTCAACTTCAAACGCTCATAAAAAAGTAATTATACACTTTTTTTTTTTGATAGAAGTAGTCAAACCTGTAAGGAGTCTTTTATTAAATTTTTAAATCTTAGATATAAAAACAAAAACTTTTATGAATTTCTAACTAAATATAATTTGCTAATCTTCGTGATTTTTACGAATTTCCTCAAAATTCTAAGTTTAAACGCCCATGAAAAATTATTGTCGATTTACGCTCAACTTTTTTTTAAAATTCCATAAACAACAACTTACAAGAAACTTTTTATACATTAACAAGTTTTTTGACGGAGCAAAAATTTTTTTATCGACTAAGTTTTAAAAAAAACAAATAATAATCGAAAATTTCATATGCCTACAAATATTTCAACACAAATCAACATATTTTGAAAATGTTACAGTGTATAGAAAATGTTAGCAAATATTTAGTAAAATGTTAGAGTTACACTAAAAGCCAAAATCTAATTTTTGGAAAACTTATTTTGCTTAAAATTTCTTGTCTTTCCTTAACTTTTTGTTTGTTTTTCCTGTTGCTTTTGAAAATTATTGGACATTTTTAATTTTTACCTCCCGATTGCACCAACTAGATTAACTTTTCTACCAGAAAAAAGTTACTGTTGAAGAAAATTGAAGTACTTTTACTAGAAGAAACCTTGATGACAGACACAAAAAAAAAAAAAAAATAAATATAAAAACACATCATTGTAAAATCAATACATCCATCGCTCCGCTCAGAATCTAAAAGGGGGGTTATTATTTGAAAAACAGAAGTTTGTAACCCCAGAGGACATTTCATAAGTAGTATACAACAATAAAATTCAGGAATTTGAAAAATGTGATTACTGTTTTGAGTATATTTCAAAATCCCAAAAATCAGAATTTAAATTAATTAATTATTTAAAGAAAAAATAGGGGTGATCATGCATGGTGAATCACTCTGCATGTATTTTAATTATTTCTGATACGTCCCTTATCCATAGCAGTAAGCACCCATCACAGTTTTATCCTATGAATAATAATTCCGAGTCATTGACATGTATATTGTATAAGTAGGTTTTCTGTATTCATCTTTTTGCTCCAAGGCCCCACGGATAGATCTAAGAATGAAAAAAAAATATGAACCTAATACCTATAATACATATATTATCCATACTGATTGCTGGATACCTACTCTTACCATAGGTAATATTAATAATAATTTAATATTGCAAATACTAAAAAGTGATAAACCATAAATAAACGATAAACGTATTGTACCTTATTATTTGCACTTTGTAGGTATTTAAATATAAGAGACTTTAGGTATTATTGTCATAAACTACTATGAAAGATATGAGTATTACCTACACATTTTTATAAATTAAATATAGAGCAATTTACTAATAAAAAAGATTTTTTTGAAGTATAAAATATCCATAAGTGGATATCTCCATAGACCATAGCTATTCATATTTCATACCTGACCCGATACCATTATATACACCTATATTGGTAGCTAGGTAGGCACAGTGGTCGAAGTGGGGGTGATACGGAGGGATGACATCCCTCTACTTTTTTGTATTTACATTTTTCATCCCTCTACTTATTTTGTCTAGACTAACGCATTCCTCCTAAGACTTGTGTTTTAAAATGAAATAATTATTATGATTTTTATACTTATACCTATGTATAAGAAAACTTTTTATTTTTCGTATAGGTCTAAATCTGAATCGTAAGGCATCTCTCCACTTATCTTGATCCATTTCGACCACTGGTAGGCACATTATAATATAACAACGTGTATCGATATACGTCTCATCACGTCTATACGAATTTATATCTACTTAGTAAGCAGTGCATACTAGTTACTATAGTACATTTTACTCGTGGCGACTTCCGGATATCTTTTGAGTACAATTACCAACAAGCTAGGTTTATGTAGGTACCCATAATACGTAACAAATTATACGCAAACGTTAGCAGTGGCACAAAAAATTGAAAGAGCTTGAGCGCGTATGTATATAGGTAACCACCTATTACCTATACAATATTATAGGTATCACACAATACACTATTTACTATATACATATAATACTTCTTTTTGTATATATATATTTGTATAATGGTATTTGCGCGCGCGCGCGCGCGCTCGAGAGTTGGGTAATATGTCGTATATACATGTGTTTTTGGGTAAATGCGCGCGCACGATAGTTTGTGTTTGCGGGAGCGTAGAAACGCCAAGAGCAGCCCTCGTCCGCTGGAGTCAGATAAGCGCAGCCACGACACGGACACACTGGAGCCGCGAATGCTGTGGCGTCCTTTGGTTGACGTCACGCGGCGGCGTCAGTACAAACTTTCGGAGGGTAGTGCGCCCATCGGTGGTGGGGTGAGCGCCGGGAGGTGTATGGAGGGCGCAGTAGTGAATTGCGCGCACGCGCTCACTTTTGTGAGTGTGTGCGCGTGTAAGGCAAGGCCGATAAATTTGTCGGCGAGGGTGGTTAGAGTGAGCGGGTGGCTACGAGGGGAGGGCACGGTGACTGTACGTTATGTGTGTGTGTGTGAGAGCTTTTCCGTTTGTGTGTGTGTGTGTGAGCTTTCCCGATCGTGTGTGTGCGTGAGCGGGTCGTGGGGTCGCGGGTAACGGTCGACATGGTTCGGGGGGTGGGGGTGCGTGCTAGGTGCGCGCGTGTCAGAAGGGGAGGCGCGCGAATCGGCCGCCGCAGTGTATAATAGTGGTAGTAGTGTAGCTCTTGCAACATTCCGTGTACAATATCTTTCTTTTTTCTTTTTTTTTTTTCTAAAACAATTTTTTCGCTTTCCACGTCTACCCATTAACAATAATTATAATATACACATCATGTTTCGTATAATATCCATCGCGTTGTAAATATATATATGTATAATATATAAACATTATAATATATAATCATCACGACAATTACAATTATTATTCATCTCATCCGCTGCGGCACTTCGACCCCGTCAGCGCGACCGCCATGTTACCGGAATCTGGTGAGCACACACACACACACACACATACACGTACACTCGTACACACACACGCGCACGCACACACACTAATATAATATATTGTATATGTAATAATATGTATATTCTATGACGATATATATAACGTTATATTATATCGCATACGGGTATTTTTTCAATTCGTGTACTTATCAACGTCGTTGCGTAATGATTGTATCGTCTCGGATTGTAGTCTATTTTTGACATATTATCGTTGTATCGTTTTTTTTATTTTTTAATGTTAACATTATTATCGTGGTGCAATCGTCGCCCGTTCGTATTATTGGCGAATATACGCGTTCGACGACTACTCTGACATCGTCTCGGGGGCAGGTAAACGCGCGCGCTGGGGTCTGGGTCAATTTTTTTTCGACTCGCCGACCGTCGTGTCTTTAGCAGAAGTTGCTGTAGGTGTACGCACTGCACTCGGACCCGACCATGATACGTGCTCGTATCGCTGTCTTCAACGTCGCCCGGTCGGGATGGTTCGTTATCTAATTTAATAATATTTATGTACACGACGATTTACACCTTAACGACAGTGCGGATGGACGGCGGACGTCGGAGTGATTTCCTTGACGAATAATGAAATCGAAATATGTTATATGATATTATATTACACGGCAGCGACGGGCGACCCGCGGGATTACCGTTTATTATAGTGATAAGTGGTATCGACGTATTATTATTATTATTGTGACAATATTCTAACACGTCTTCTGAAAGTCTTCGTAATAACGTTACATATCATTTTTACCACAACACTCCGCCACCACCACTGCAGTCATGTCGTCGCCAATCGTGCACCCTTCGAATATGGATACGCATACTACACCTGCACCGTCTACAGCAGGATGCACCACAACGATGATCGTCTACTATAAATAATTATGGATTCGTATCGGTTCTGGTGATTTTTTTCGAGTGTAATTCGTATATATTATGACATATAGGTGTACACACTCGCACCGTTTAGATTTCCGCAACCCGACCCTTCATCATCTCTTCACCGCCCCCGCAACGTGCACGGTCAATTTTAGTCGTCCGTCGCTGCTGTAGCGTCTCTCTTGTTTATTTATTTTTTTCCGATAGATTTTTCTCAAAGCACTCAATCGTCATCCTGTGCGAGATTTCTTCCACGATGGATACGGAGCTACGTCGATGTACTCTATAGTACAATAGTTCGAATTTCTCGTAAATCGCGAGTAATCGTTTCGCCAGGTCGTTCGTATTTTTCGTATGTTCTTTATCGCATAAAGCGCTAAACGGGTGGTACGCGCGTGTAGTAAAAGTCTAAAACCCGTCGTCCTCCGATCGATATGCGTCTATGATATATCTTTTATCTATGTCGTAATGTATATATCACGAGGTACAATATTATTATAGTAGTTTTAATATATCATAGTATACAGTAGCATAGTAACTAGTATTATATAGTATAGTAGATATTATATTATAATGGTGGCATTAGTATCGCACAGTACAATGATATTTATACAGTATCGACTATAATATTGTGATATAATTATATGGTTTGCACTTCGCCCCCACAAATCTAGACAATATTTTGTATTATTATTAGCGTTTATATTATGTTGTGTTCTATAATGTGTATATTAACCTTATTTAGATTGATGAAACATAACGAACCACAACCTTAATATTATTATTTCATCTATAGACTTTTATACTTTTAAAATACAATCATAACAAGCCGAATAAATTAATTTCCTCACATTAACAAATAAATAAAAATTTAATTAATCGTCATTATTGATTTTCACTTCTAAGAATTATCTATCTGATAGTTATTATAGTTTTTATTATTATTACAGACTCTTAAATAGAACTGTGTGCTATATACAATATACATGTATAACTATATAACTGTATAAGTCTATTAATATTATCGATTAGACACATTATTAACATTGATTTTCTGTTAGAAGCCATTGAATATATTATATATATATATAATGATTATACACATAACACATTATACAATAATAAGAATGTTTTTAATGAAATCAACTCTAAAACCTAAATATGTACAATATAATGTAATTCAAAAAATAAACTACAAAATAATAGTTTGGAAAATATAGTAGCTATATAGTATTGATTATTATTTGTTTTAAAACATTTTCAAGGATACTTTCTACGAATCCCCTATTTTTATAAGAGAACGATTATTATTTATTTTATACTATAGTTAAATCGGTTGAATGCTTCGTTTCAGTTGTATCGTTAATGTTAATTAATGTATTATACACATAATTGAGTGAATTTTATCATAGTGTCTAATCGTAATTTTTACCTATAATGTGATAAAAATGTTATTCAAATAATAATCGTTTAATGACATTTATATATTTTTGTATAGGCTGTGATGTGTGACAGATAGCAACAATGGCGGTGGGCACGTACTACTGAAGCCCACCCCCACCACAACCTGGAGCCCTTAACCCAGGCATCGCTGGTGCTCACCATGGCGGTCGCCATCATCCTCCTTAATATCCTCATAATCGCTACGTTCACCAACATAAGAGGTATTATATGCGTTTATCGATTTATATGAATTATTTCCTGATATTTGTCGAGTTGTAATAGTTTACACTAAGAACTAATAAAAAAAAATTTCCTGATATTATATTATTGACATTATTGAAGCAGCTGACGACACCATTTTCAAATCAGGGCAACGAGTTATTTTAACGTGATTAATGCTATATCGAAAAAAAAATATAAGATTTTTTTATTTGAACTGCATCCAGTTTTTCTAATAACCCGCTTCTGTATAATGTAATAGGTGGAGGAGAGGTGATGAATGTATACTTGGTGTCACTGGCTCTGGCCGACCTGCTCTACGGTGTGCTCGTAGTGCCATTTTCCGTGTATCCAGCACTTGTGCAACAATGGGTTTATGGGAAAATTGCTTGTAGAATAATCGGATACATCGAAGTCGCACTGTGGACCGTGTCTGCATACACACTTATGTGGATTAGTGTGGACAGGTAATAATTTTAATGCATTTTAATTTTATACGAGTTATAATAATGATTTAAGTTCTTCATAATAATGAGCAATGGTCACTCAAAGATAAAAATTATTATTACACTGATAAACAGAAACTACAAAATGTGTGTTAATTGTATTTAGTCTTAGTATCATAGAATACGTCATAAAATACCTATTATTCCAGCCACTCGATATTAATAGTGGTATTAAATTGCCTATACATGACGCCGTCATAAGAAATATTGATTAACTGCTTTTAAAATAATTCATCAAGTATTCGATGCGTCGAGGTTGCTCTTTGTACTTTCAATTATTAATGAGTTATTGACAACTTTAATTTAAATTTAAATACTTCATTTTTCCCTAACACAATAACTTCTTTTATATGCCTATAATTATATATCTAAAGGAGAAAACGTTGAATATTGAACTAAAAGTTTATTATTTATTTATAAATAATATGCTGTTATTACTTCATTTGAATTTTTATTGGTGAATTTCTTATTACTCAGCTTTGCTAAACTTTGTAAATACTTATAAAAATATATATATAATTATATTTGTATATTACGTTTTAAAATATCAGTTATTCCACTTCAAAAACTTAAATCTAAATTAAGTTAATATAAAATATATATTTCAATATTAGGTATTAAAATCCAAAACAATTTACTTTTTATTTCGCCTATAGGAATAAAGTCGCGGTTTAATGTTTCACCTGTCGTCAGTTGTACAACGATAATTTTGCAATGAGTGCGTTGTACCTTTATACAATCTAATAGTATATAATATATGTACCTAACATAAGAATAATAGTATGCATGTTGTAACGGTATACATGATTTAAATTTTTAAGCGTCCGTCCTACCGACACGTGGTTTATATTTTGTATTCAGAGGTAAAATACTCAATTATGTCGATTGCGTGTGTACGTATAGTATATGCGTTCCACGAACTCACGCACCTCCCCCCCAACATATTACTAAATCGTTGTGTGTAAATTGACGGAAATTTCTCATACATTTATTTAAAAAATTTCTTCATTAGTTATTATTTTATATTCATTATTGTATAATGCTGAAACATTATAGAAAATAGGTACCTATCAAATTTTATAATATGTTGATGGTTTATCATTATGACTCTAGGGCATATTCAAATATTATTTCTAAACTCACCATGTTATCATTCTTAGATCCACCCCTACAGACTTATTGTACACAAAATTGTTTTTGTACCTACACTATTATACTACCTACTAGGCATATGTATGTATAATTATACTGCAGTTCGATCGCATGTCTGAGTCGCGTGTTTTGCACTTCTACACGCGCGATGTAGGTATATATACATTCTTCTCGTCGATGATTGCAGCACGTGAAGGGACGAATTATATCCAGAAAAATATAACGCATCATACATTTGCGTGTGCACAACACCGCATTATGATGCGATCACGTATATTAGCGAGGTGTATTATGATATTGTACAGTGGCATCGTTGTAGTTAACGTGAATCGTATTGTACATAATATATAATATTCCAAACAGCCCGTTTTCAAATTAGATTCGAACGCAAGCATAATAAGTGAGAAAAAATGTTTAAGCTGTAATATTTTTTACTCAATATCATGTTATGTTGAAATAGTATATTCTGTATAATACATACAAAATAAACACTATTGTCCATAAAATAATAATCCAACCCCCTTTCTCCGATTTTTCACATTCACGATTGGGTATCAATAAACAGTAAATTTTAGTTGTGACATAACTCAAGGAGAACAGAAAAAATTTCAAAATATTGAATTTTATTGATTACGAAAAATTTGAAGTACCGACTGTATCTTGAATTTCGACACAACGAGAGTTTACTGCACTGTTAGTTTACATACATACTAACATTATATATCTAATTTAATCATCAATAGACTTTGATAGGGATAATTATTAGACTTAACAAATTATGTATAAGTCTCTAACATAGTGTGATATTATGTAGTTCTCGAACCCTGTCTGTCCATATTTACAATAATAAATGATGCTTTGAAATAAAATATATATAGTATTATAACACATATTGGATATCTTACAATTTACATGATATATATTATACAGGGTGATCCTTTTATCGCAGAACACCAGAAGTTATTCTTCGCATAACTAATCTACGAGAAGTGAGAAAGACGCCGAGTGAAGTGTGTTAGAACCTCGCTCTGGCTGCAATGCACTCAATAAAATAACATAATATATTTTGTATAGGTTCTTCAAAAATATACCCACAATGAAATAATACGCGTGTGCACACGATGGTTTTTCGCAGGTACATAGCGGTACGCAAACCAGTCCGGTACTTTACGGTGCAGACGCGCACCAGGTGTCAGTGCTGGATGGCGTTCACGTGGATATCGTCGGCGATGCTATGCAGCCCACCGCTGCTCGAGTTCGGTGATCCGGTATTCGACCAGGACACGGCGGTGTGCATGCTTGACTGGCAGGGCATGGCGGCGTATTCGGTGACGCTGTCCATACTGGTGCTGGGGCCCAGTCTGATCACAATTCTGTACACGTACGTGTATATTTACGGTGCGATCAGGCGGCTGCGGCGTGGCTTTCTAGCACACGACAAGGTACGAAATAATATTATCATATTGACGTTATAGACATAGGTATATAAATTATATACTAACACGATATATACCTATACATATATACATGATACATATAATAAATAATAATATAATATTATAGACGCGTACTGCAGCTACGAGTCCGCTTGTAGGACGGTATAACCGGAGGGGTTGAGTAAATAATAACTATATAGGCAGTCGTTTAGGAGGGTCTGTGGATATATTTTAGACTGGTATTAGGTATATATCCTCTATATTGAGTGACCCAGAAGCCAATACTTGATTGTTGGCCCCCACCGTCCTAGCTGTTATTACCAATAATAGTTTAACGTTTTATCTGTATGAAGTAGAAACCTCTATTATATATTTATATATGTATATGCAAATAAACAGAATAAATGCTTGAAATATGCATGGATATTATCAAAATATGCACCAAAAATGAAATAAAAAAATCACTCGATCATTTATTTATGATTTATATTTACTATAATATACACTAACCCAAAATTGTATAAAAAGTAGTAGGTAACAATTATTATATTAGTATAAATAAATAGTTCTCATAAGCCATAGCATTATATAACCAAGGGCGTCAAGTAGCTTCAAGTGATTCATTGTGAAGCCATGGCCCATGGAGTTTGTCTGCTGGAATACAGAAAACGAATGATTTCAATTACAGGACTGCAGTATTTAAACTTAGAGGATATGTAACTATGCACTATAGTCGTGGTGCGCGTGCAAACGATTAAACGATCAAACGATATATTATTATATTAATTTTATCAAAAGCTCGTTAGTCATGATTCATCTATTACCTATATGTATGAAACAATGGCTAGATACTGGTCGAACAGTATTGAATTATCGAATTCACTTTTTGTAGATGAAAAAGGAGATAATATAATGCCATTAACACCACAAACCCATAAAATATGCATTTATTGTGTAAAAATCCGATTATATGCATATAATCCGTGATATTTGATAAAATGGGCGTAACATACCTATACATAGATACATAACAATAATTATTATACGTACAGCTAAAATAAACAATATTACTGTCATTGGCCATTGCTTAGTATAATACTAAAATACAAATATAAATATATTATTTATATATTATTATATAGCAGAAATATAGACTCAGAATTTTTAAAATAAGTTATAAAAAACTGATTATAACACATAATAGTTTAATAATAAATCTTTAAAGGGATTATATTTCAGTTTTAGTTGATATAAACATTTACAAAAACATTTTTTATTATTAAAATGTAACAAAAACATTATGAAAAGTATTAATGATTTAAAGGGGGGTATTAAAAAAAATATCATATTCGGTATGCGGCTCACGTGGGCCATTTGTAGCAAATGTATTTATTATTTATTTATTTATATAATTATTATCAAATAATGATCCATTTTTTTTTGTAAAAGGAGATTTACTCCGAATACCACCTATGAGCTTTCCGAGTACTACTCTAGTGGTACGCGTACCACGGGTTGAGAAACTCTGATCTAAACACTACAAGGATAAATTTAGCACATTTAAAATATAATTTGTATAAAAACAAATAATTTACATGATTAGAGCGCAGGTTGAAAACTCTTTTTAATTTTAGATTTGAAATTTATATGTAGATCGTTGGTTGGATATTTGCATGCTCTAAGAGCCTTAGTTCACCTTGGCAACACTTAAAGTTTTTAAATAATTCGCAAACTTGATACTTTTATTTTTTGAAAAATAGTTCTTAACTTAACTCTTGGTTCTCATCTGATGCTTAACTTTTTAAAGTTCCCGTGGATTATTTGACTTTAAGCTGATAACGTGAAACCTTGAAAATCTTAATGGTGGCATAATATTTCTTGAAAACTTTAATCACATATTTTTTTTCAAGTCGTTGGTTTAAAATACTTTTTTTAGCATTATAGGTAAAAAAAATATTTAATTTATTAAAGAACTCATTATAATATTTAACAATGCAAAATCACTGTTAATATTAGCTTTAAATGTATAATTATAAATTTGAACAGGAAATGCCTTTTTTAAATTGAAATTAAAATATTAACAAATAAGCTAATTAATTATATACTAATACTGTCGTAGAAAAACATACGATTTCAATAATTTAGTGAGTTGTATGTATATTATAATAATTTATTCGGGTTCTAGACGAATTAATCAAGTTAAACTGTTAAATTGTTTAAACATAATTACGGTAGATTTCTTATTCAATTTTGACTATAATTAAAAAATTAAAGGGGCCGTCTCCGTTTGTCCTTAATTGGACTTTATTGGAATAGTGAACCGAAAATTCCCCTGGTGCTGTAGAAATTACACATACGTGTTTATAATTTATTTTACACTAGCCCAAATGTTATATGTTTATATGTTTATATGTTTATAACTATTAAAACAATATAGGTACAACTACAATACACAAAATAATTGAATATTGTAATTGTATTCATTGTATTCGGTGATTATGTTATAAGACACACGATTCTTAGTCTAATATAGTATTTATAAATAGCATAACTCACTGTCATTATTTTTATTTTTATTTGTTCTTATTACAAAAAAAACAGCACAATCTAGTCCTTATCTAACTAATAGTAGGCATAAGGTATAGACGGTATATGGTTTGTACGACATAGTTTATTCTTAATATTTGATAATATTGTATATTATAATGCTAATCGATTAAATTAAACAATTTTTATAACTTAAAACTTATTTAATGGTCACACATTTACCAGACGGTTCTATAAATACCAACGTCCACTTTATCATACTAATTTATTTGTGGATATATCAATGTAGCTATAATATTAAGTTATATTATTATTTTAATGGCCGTGCATTATTATTATCGTTGTACGCAGGAATACGTAACAGCGTTGTCTGAAAACTTGTCCAATCCTACACACGTCACGTCATTCGTGTTGATCGTAACGTTTTGGATATGTTGGACACCATTGATGTCCATCAAAGCATACCAGCAACTAGGCGGTGTACCGGCGGTGCCCGGCCATGTCCGTTTCGCCGCCCTGTGGCTGGGAATATCCAATTCGGTATGGAAGGCGTTTGTGCTCATATTTCTTAGCCCGCAGTTCCGCGTCATGCTCAGATTGTTGTGTTTGACGGTATTTTGCAAACGGAAAAGTCGCGCAGAACTTGAGCTACTACAACTCGACATGGAAGATCACTTCCTCTAAGTTAAGTATTATGTTGATGTTTTTTTTTTAATAATCATTATTGTTGAACTTTGTTTTTGTTATTAATCGAATGTTCTTCCCGAGAACAATCATTCGTCCATTTGTTTACGTTTTATTCAGATAAAAAAAAATTGTTTCAAACGAAATCTAATTTATTAAAATTGTCGTTGGTTGTATACCCCCTAACTCATGGAGATATCCATGGGCTAGGAGAATTTTTAATAATTTTAGTGTGCCGATAGAGCCAGTAATCATACATGTCATACTAAATGGTGTTTTTCGGAACATTGTAGAAAAAATTATTTTTTATAGACTGTTTTTAAATTATTAACAATTGTTTTGGAACAACTTGTAAATTAGTAGATCAGTAAATCACGTATGAATATATATTTTACGGGCAAATTAAATTTGTATGTATAATATATATCAACAGAAAGAGTTGGGCAGCAATTTAAAGAAAAATCACTTTTCCTTCTTAAAACTTTTAACAAATAATACAAATCATACTAAATTACAGGGCTTCCAGTCAATAATCTAATATATGTATAAGTTAGTTATCAAATTTAATCAGTTAAATGGAGATTAATCATTTTCGACATTGAATAATTTGTTATTACCACGAAATAATAAAAAATCCATAGATACTTTTATTTTTACGCCCAACTCTGAAATCATGGTATGACTTTTTATCGTGGTTTAATTACCATTCCATAAAAATATGCCTACAATTTTTAAATCGCACTGAATTCGTTTTGTTGAAGTTTAAAATGTATGAAGATATAGGTGTAGTCTAAATAATATGTAAACAAACGAAATGCGTATTTTAACAATAATCACTTTTGGAATTATATTTTAATACGAGTTGTTTGTTCCTATTGTAGTATTATTATTATTATTATTACCATTATAATAATTATTATTTTTACTATAATGACTTGAGCCTGCCACATTTTTAATAAATCGTTCAATTTAATATATAATCGCACCGAATGAAAAATAAGCAATCGATATAGTTAGTATCATTCTCTAAGTCTTAGTAATACTAAGTATCGATATTTGATTGGGAAAATTAAATTTTTGAAAAACACCAATTAATAATTATTCTATGTTCGTGTACCATAAATATATGATATATACTTCTATGTTCATATATGGTAGAAATAAATATCCATACAATTTGCTTATTACAAAAAGGTTAAGCAATCAGTAAAATAATTTGTTAGATATCCATTTAAAAATATGTTTTATTTCAACTTTTAAGTATGAAAAGTTTTGCTTAACTTGTTTTAAAATACACTTTGTCCCATGAATAAATTATGATAAATAATGATTTTATGGACAATTTTCAAATCATAAACCATTTAAGTTCAACGTACTTTTGTTTTTTTTTAAAAATAATGATAAACATTTTCTTTTACTAAATTTAAATAATTTCAAAGCTCTCGTTATAAGAAAAAAATAAAAGTATTAACAATTTATTGTACAGTTTGTATTCTCTCTGTTCTATTTGATTGGTGTTTTTAACTATCAAAAATGTTATTTGTGTTTACACTAACCAGAGCATAAACCAAATAGTATTGATAACAATAATAAAATCACAGTATACGACAGGGTTAGTTTACTTTATCAATATTTTGGTCTATCATCTATTTTTCATCATAATATCATGTTATTAATTACTAACTATACCAAGTAGGTAATCAATAAAATATTTTAATAATGTGTAGGAAAAATTCAAGCTTCATTATAATAAAAATAATATGTACTTTGGATAATCAACGAGGCTCAATGAATATGTTTGATTGTAGTTAAGTTTAGTAAAAAATATTAGTATTATAAAAGTTACCAGAGAACCCCTTTAGGTTTTAGGCGCGCAGTTATTGTGATAATAGCGTTATGGTAAAATTAAAATTGTGAACTTTTTTTATTTATTCGCTCTAATCACCACTTCAGTCATTTAGGCGCTTACAAAAAATGAGATTCGGTCGACATGTTTTTAATTATAAACATTAGTTATAATATGTGTATAAAGTTGAATATACACTTCACGTGGCCGGATCGACCGGCATCAAATATTTTGAGTCAGCCCTTTTTTATCTGATGTACGATATAAAATGCACTTAAATAGAGAAATTATTGTATTGATATTATTGTATAAACATTACGAGGAAAACGTGTAGCTTTTACATCATATAGAAATGTTTTATTGTGATTAAATTGACCTGCTCGTACATAATATGTTGAATGTGAAGGAGTTAGTATCGAATAACAATATTTAAAGCCTGTTATTAGATTTTTTTCTAAAAATGTGCTTACATTACAATCGATAATGGAGCATTGCTGAGTCAATATATTTTTTTTTTATTGTTATCACTTATTATTATAACTAATATTATGAAATGTATACTATGTATATATAATTTCGTTATATTTAAAAAAAAAATGTTTTCGATAATTTTTAGATCGGAACCGTTAAATTAGAATTTTCATTAAAAAAACGGCCTTACTTTGATACTGACTCTTTCAACTATACTATTCGTTGTTGGTTATTCATTTTATTTTTGAATCGATCATTGGTCAGTCGTCAAGATTGTTATTATCACTGCTGTACTAATATACCGATATGCAATCAATTTGTACGATTAAAACCACATAAATTGTTATTTATTTATATAAAAGTTATCCTTATAAACAATTAATTAAAAGTAATCGTAGATCAAAAATACATTTTTATCACTCCTGTATTTTTAAGCACCAATTTTGGTGAATACCAAAAGTTAAGCGAAGAAACTTTCTTATAGTGAAAGTTGACTGATAAACATTAGGAATACTACTAACTTTTTTTAAATCTATTTTAAACAAATACTTCATTAACATGAATGTTGGACAATTTTTCAAAATACTACTGTTTTTTGACAATATTTTCTTCTAACTCCTAAATAACATCATGTAGTAAAATGAGTAATATTTGGTTATAGTTTGCCAATTATTTAATTTGAACTAAACCAAATTACTGACATGCTTTTATTTATTATTATTTATTTTTTATTATACATATATAATTGATCATATTGTTATTATTATAAGTGTATGTTTAAGACTGAATCATTTAGTAGATTTTTGATTAGATTCGTTTGTTTACATTGTTATTATACAGCTAATTATTATTATTATTTTATATTATTAACATTTGATTATTTTTAATTGGCTTGAAATATTTTAAAGAAAATGTTGATATATGAGTTCTTTGGAAATGAAAATGTCCACGAGTTTATAAGATCGAGTTATTTGTGACCTAAAACGCTTTGTTGTATATTAATTATTATAATTATTGTCTTTTAGGGTGTGTCGATTGTTAATCAGTTTTTACAGAACTATGTGTGCATATATTATGTCGGGATGATAATACCTATTACACATTTTTCTTTTTATTTATTTTATAAATAGTTACTCACTATACACATCAAAAAAGTTCACGAGCAGTTATTGTTTATTGTCATTATAAATAATATATTGTAATGTGCTTTAAGAAAAAAAATGTAATGTTTTGTTAGTACCTACATCATGTATTATTATGTATGTTATTTCTATTCTTTATTCATTATTAGTATGATAATAATATTTAATGTGCCATAATTTTATATGTTATTCAGTTGTTGGTAGTGATTTTGAGATAAAATTATAGTACAAACAAGGTTTTTTCAACTATATTATATAGAAATCCGGTGTTTTTAATCATGTGTTATTTTAATACAATATTTATTACCTTTTAATGATAATTTTTTTTTTTGACGAATACATTTTAAAATAATAATATGTTGTTAACAATAATGGAAAAATAACTCATAAATATTTCTTAAGTTATTTTTTTAAAAACAATTAGTAAGTATCTACAATCACATAATAGTTTGAATATGATACTTCTTAAATTTAATTTGTTAAGTATTTTTTTTTTTTAAACTTTGGACACCCAATTACAGACAATATATTTCAACGCCGGAGGAAATAAGTTCAAAACTTCAACGATAGTTGTAAAATAATGGTTTACTATTAGTTACTGCTCAGTAAGCAGACTAATTTCATTTCATTAGACGTCCAAAATTAAAATCTTATGATACGTAATTTTTAATATCAATATTTTTTACACAGCTATATGACATAACTTTAACACTGATACTCCAATTTTATTAAAATATACAAGGTCCGAATCCCAAACGATTAAATTATCTTATATTCTAGTAAACGTACACCTTTGACCTCAATAATGAACAATATCATCCATTTTTATTAATTTGTATAGATGTTTAGATGTTTCGAAAATTTGCCCACGTCCTTATTATAGCTAATGTTCTATTAAATTGTATATCTTTATATATATAATTATACTGTACGTGTGTATGTCACTGAACTCCTCCTAAACAGCTGATTTGAATGAATTTTTTTGTATGCGTTTGGGTGACGCCCTGGATGGTTTAGATTCACAATTGGACCCGATAGGTCCGACCCGAGGAGTTGCTCAAACAAGGATTTTAAGATTTACGAAGGAAATATTTGTTTATATACAGTTGCTATTGGTTAAAGAAAAAATATGAATATATTTAGTAGAAATTTAGCAGTATTTTTTGCCTGCAGTTGTTCATCGAACAGATCAGGTATAACGTATAAGCATGCATACAATTGAATTTTTGCACATTGCCTACCAACTACGAAGGTGGCTGAGTTGCAATTATAGCCGCTCATCGGCGTGTCTGAAATCAAAATCAAAATAAAACATGCTATTTATATAAAATACTCATCAAGGGTCCGCAATTCACAGCAGGTATAGGCATAATATACTGCTCGAATTATCACCATCGAGTCTCATATAGAGTTGGCATTTTTAGCGGGCAACAAAGTGAACGGGATCAGCTAATATATTATAAATTCATAAATTCGTATAGCAACAGTACCACGGTAATATTCATAAAATTTATAAATAAAAGTAATAAAATAAGTTATATAATTGTGAGTATGATTAATAACAATACATTATTAGTATGTAGTCAAATTTAAGTGTCTATACCTAAAGACTTTATGTCTTTATCAATGAATTCCTTTGTAACATCACTGATACCATTGATGCCCAGCTTGAACCTCTATTTGGACATTCATCTGTAATATTCCTCATAATCTGACTTTTGTTAACACAATTACATTCCTGGTGGTCTTTTAATTTCCATTTGTACATCATATGGCCACATCTTCCATGTCCGGTTCTGGCGGTTCTGGCGGTTCTGGTGGTTCTTATTTGGTTAAGGATTGTCCATTCCTGATGTGGGAGTTCAAACTCTTTGACTCTATGCGTGGGAAACTTTAATCAGCTCCTTAGAAAATACTGTTGTACCTAGCCACTCCTCCTGCCATTTTTTCACACTACAAAATTGCGACTGAATTAGTACTTATTTTCATATCAATAACTGTATAGACCTGCCAATAAAATGTATTTGTATTTAATGTTGTTCGGTATTTAATCGTGAATCCACAAGAATTTTTTATGAACGCCTCAAGTTTGTTGATAAAATTAAACAAAATCTTAAACATTCTAAAATTATTTTGTTGTTAAAACAAAGTAAAATGTTCAATTTTATAGCTGAGAATTGAACATTTCAAACAAGGATTCTTTTGAATAGTTCATACTGTAACCAAAAATTTAATAGAAATATAATAAAATAGAATGACAAAAATTAATAGTAATGTGAATTACTTTAATCACTATAACATCATAAAATATAATTAGTAATATTACTGGCTGATAGGCCGTCTTTGCTCAGAATCGTTTTTCTTACACAGTGGTTTTATACCATTGAATTCAAATTTAACATATCCATCACAGTGAATCTCTAGACACCTAATGTACAGAAGAGCGTTACCCAATTACCCGCTTTTTTAAAGATGTTTTGGTACACATTTCTTAAATTTCAAAGTAATAAAACTTGATGAATATAAAAAATTACATGCATTTAAAAATATATTAAGTGATTGAATCACCTATATACATGTATATATATTATATATATGAGCTTTTAATTTTTAAATTGTTTGACTACTATATCATATCGTAACTATAGTAATTGAAATATAAATGACGAACCATCAAGAGCAAATTTCGTTTATGCATACACCAGTTATAATAATATTTAGTTGCACAAATTATAGATGAATATTTTTATCTTACTTTTATTTATTAGTACAATATAATTTATTGGAGATGTTACGGATTCAATTCGAAGTCTTGAATTCAAACATCAAAAAATATGTGTTCGTGAATTTAGTCATATGTATTGTGAGTATTTATACCTATATATAGAATTATATCTCTGTATATTTACTACTTTACTAGTATTATTTAATTATGACTATATGAGATACCCAGAGCCAGTGGCCATTGGCCATCGGGTGTGATTCAATTTCTTATATTATGATGTACTTATATCAACGCAGCCACGGCGTTATTTTTCATCTTCACTTGTTTAAATACAGAATAAATGTTTTAAAAATTAGTTCTGCAAGCCAATACAACCAAAATCATTCATTGTGAATCATAATAAAGAGAATGTATTACGATTCGTATAAAATAATATTATTATACTATTATTATTCTTTTAATTTTTTTAACACTTTAATATTTAATAAACATGTTAAATTAGCTGAATATAATAATAGTAGTTGGTAAAAAAAATAATAATCATGCAATAATCTACAAATGCTTGGCTAAAAAACTTGAAAATATAAAATACTTCGCCCATTCTTTTATGCGTACCTCCCTACACAAATTAAATCATATCAGCCATACCATGTTGATAAACGCACTGTTGACAATCTTACACTTACAGGTGTTGACGTATTTCGAGATGACAAATTCAGTAAACTACATAGCAATCGTTATTGTCGTCGGAGCTTTGTTGAAAGTAAGATCAAGTCTCTCGCATAATAAATTATGCATATAAACCAGGGTGTCAAATCTGGTTATAAAAACAGATATTTATTATGACCAGAATAAAAAGTTATATTTTTATATAGTATCGTTTAAAAATATTTTTAAAATGATTAACCAATAGATTATTGCATAATTTAATATAAATATTTTTTAGGGGAACACCAACCGTGCAATGCCTTACGCACTGGTCCTAACGGCAATTGGATGCGTGTTTGACATTTTTTCTGTTCTTTTCCGCCCCACTGAGTACAAAACTATATTTATTATAATTATTATTTTTTTTTAGTTCCATATTGCAGTCAATTTGTTTACTATTATTATAATGCCGATTGATTGGTAAAGGATTATTTTAAAATAATAATCTTATGTTTAAGTTATAAAAGTTCGAGTTGGGCCCATGTCAAATTCTTCCAATATATTATGCGGATTTTCAGTAAGTATAAATGTATTTTCATTAAAGTATCAAATAAAATAACAATTTTTTTTAATAAAATAAATGAATTTAATAATATTCTTAAATACCATAGCCTATATATCCTATGATTACAATATATAATTTAGAAAATGGTAATATTTTAAAAATGTATCTATAATAATACTATAAAATTGTCAAAATAGTATTAAATGAGATAAAAAAATATTATATAATATACGAAAAAAAATGTTTTTGGTGTGGATAAAAACCGTTCTATGACAAGAGTTTTATTGAAAAAAAATCCTTCTCCACCACCCCGTCGAGCTTTATTTACATTACTGACGTGCTTATATCACTTTTGTGTATATTTTATACAGCCATCCTGTACGTGCTCCTCTACATATTGATGCTATATTGTTATTGGCTCCATTCCATGGCTGTGGCTCAAAAAAAACAAATAAGACTTCAATTGGGCTTATATAACGAGGATAAGAAATAGAATCGCGCTATTCAGAAGAAAAAAATATTTACTATAGATTAAATTAAATTTTATTTTATCTGTTAATTCGTGAAGCATGTAATAATGAAATTACATAAAATAATAATTACCAATAAATAAATAATTGGTATAATAAAAATTAAGAGAGGTGGCAAGTGTGGAGCAAGTACCGCTGTGCTGTTTTGTGTGTTCACTGGAATATATTGCAAGTAGGTTACATACGTACTCTGAAGACTGCAGTCTCCCGATTCTTAAGCCTATAATATAACTTAGAATAATTAGTCATATTAACGAATAATTAATGAGAGGTGTCCCATCAAAATCTGGACAATGTTTAATAAAAGGTAGGTATATAAAAAAATCATATGGAGTCAAATAAAAGAAAAAATAACGGGAAAGAGAGCACGAGCACCCGTAGGCAATGCAATAGACAAAAAAAACTTTTAAAATATATTGAAGGTACGTATACTGAAGACTGCAGTCTACAATCTTAAAATTCTTAAACCGAAAATGATAATTAAACTAATCAGTTGATGAAACTGCAATGACTATTTAGGAAGCATCAGCTGGTCATCAAGGTTTAAAAAATGTATAGGTATAACAAAATCGATTAGAGTTAAATTAGAGAAAAAAAATGAGAAGGGGAGCACGAGCTCCCGCAGACAAATGCATTTTTTGGATGAGTCGCGGTTAGGTTTGAGTTAAACATGTGTATGTGGAGCGAGGATTCGTCGCTAAACATCCAGGTGGTCACCCATCCGGGGGCTAGCGACGCCGGACGATGCTTGACATACATTGGAGATTGCGGCCAACCATCGAGCCACACCAAGCCACAAGTGTATTCTTATTATTTGTATTTATTGCATATTACATATTTTTTTGTGTACGCATTTGATTATAAATAAATATGTTATTATTTCCTGTTGATACACGAGTTATCAGATTACGAATAGAGTTTCAACCATTCCAGAGGAAAATTACATACAGAAACATGCCACTTGAAATATTATCTCAGCTTACGTGATAAACTGATAACTGAATATAATTTTGTAAAATATAATTTTTAATTTGTTTTTTTTTCTGAGGAGGACAATTGCTTATTAAAATACTGTCGCCAATAACATGTCATCATCATTACTTATCACAGGAGACGAGGAAACAGGATGTTGATGACTCTTTTTCCTTTGATCCTGTAAAGTTATATTTCAGCGAAAAATTCGTTTCGTGCTCTCTTGATTCAAAATATTCTAATTTTATTTTGTAATTTTTTGGATTTTTTTTGTATTTTAACGTTATTTCAGTAGATTTTTGGAGTTTTTTTGGGCATTTTTGATTTTTTTTTAGAGCAGCTTAGTATGTTTTTTAAGTTTTCAACTTCCTTTTTCTACTGTTGTTAACAGAAATGTGAATTAATTACATTTACATGTTTTTTTTTTGCTAAACTGTATAAAAACATGGTTTCGGACAAAATTTGTTTTGACTTATTTATAATTTAAATACGAAATCTTTTTTGCATATTTTTGATTTTTTTAGTATATATTTTAAAGCATATTTTTCATGATTTTAGTGTTTTAAAACATGCATGTTTCAAACTTTTTTAGTGCATTAAATTCACAGATCTGGTTTTTACTTATTAGTTATTACTTTTACTTTCAATCATACTTTATTATTTTAATCACAGTAAATATTAACTTTTTACAATCTACAACTTATTCAACTTGATGACACTTGACACTATTGAGAGGATGCTGAAGTTTAAGCGCACTATTTATTTCTTTCTGTGGCCCACGCACAACAAAGCAAATGCATTTCGAGCAGAAACAACCATTATCAAAGTAACAATATTGGATTGGTTCTGTTAATCGTATATTTAGTTTGTTACGCGTAGGTCAAAGAGAGAAAACAAATAGTGCTATAACATGTAATTTAAATATTTTAATTTGTATATAGTGTTATATGCCCACCACTATAGAGACTATAGAGACGCTTGTTTTACATAATATAATAACGCCTGTATGTAGGCGTCTTATCGCAGATATGTGCTTATGCGCGACAAGACTATAGTATCGGTCCTGTCGGCAATTTAGTCTTGAACCCGACTCATTCGAGTTAAGTAGTGTGCTTGTAGTATAAATTATATTTCTTAAAACTAATAAAGTATAATATTCTCATTTAAATCTAAAACGTGTGTTCTTTTTATTAATAATCTATTAAACAACATTTGACTATCACCCGCTACACAGAGAACGGTTTTCAACAAATTGACGTCTACGGATACAACCAGAGACGCAATATAAAATATAACACAACACCACAGGCATATGCGGTGGCGTTCATAACATAGGTGGCAGCGGTAGCCGTTTTAATTTTTTATTTCTTTCAAAAGAAATTCTGTCCAGTGAGTGATATATTCAAATAATTATTATAAAAAAAAAAAAAGCGAACACGAGTGAATATTATATTCACACGGAGGCGCTTTTACCTAAATATTGGTGAGGAAACTATTCAATAGTCCCCGATATTTACGTCGTACGCATCTACAAATACACCATAGGAGGTGCTACTTGTTTTATACCACCTACGTAAAAAACGGGACCACCATATTTTATCGGTTATTATAAATACACAATCAACACGTATTGTCAATACCAGTACGCATATTTGTACGATAAGCTACACTAAATCTCGTCTACATCGATTAATTAGTAAACAGAAATTAATTAATCGTTCAAATTCAACAAAACCCACCATTGTGGTCTCCGCGCATACCGGTTTCGGAGCGTAGAACTTCAAACGAAATAACTTGAAGGCTACGTGGGAACGACACCGAGAGACGTAGCGAGTTCAACAAGGGATCCAGATAATCTGTCAAAGGAGTCAATTACTATGCAGTTCGAAGTAATAACAAAGACCATCATACTGTAAGTAAAACAAAAAAAAAAAATATATATAAAATATAAATATTTTTATATTATAATACAATTATTATCACTAACTTGGATAATAGAATAAAATTACTGTATTTTTATTTTTTTTATTCTCTTAAACTACTGACATAGTAACATAAAATAAATATTAATTTTTCTATCAAAAACCTTGGATATTTAATACAAGCATTCAAGACCTGTATTACAATTATTCGTTATAAATTATAGTACAAAAAACAGTTAGCGGCGAGACGACGATCACATTATTGTTGTTTTTGCTAGCGTATTTTATGCATTCCGGTATCGGAAATAAAATATGCGTCTACGTTACTCCGGAGTCCAGGTAGTTCATTGTCCGATGCAATAAATAAATATTTTAAGTCTAAAAGAACATTTGAGCCAACAAGAGTATATGAAAACAAATTTACGCAAAGATCAACTTTTTGGCGAAAACAGCGCTGTATGCGCAGTTCGCCACCACCAACGTGGAAACACTACAAACAGCTCTGAACTGAAAATATTGTGATTTATAAAAATCAAACCGAACGAAAAGCAAATTTTTTTATTCGTATTCAATTCACTTAGTCTATAGTCTTTCACAACGATCGCCAATTACTATAGACGATAGATAATATTACATTTTAACGTTAATATGATAAATATACAGATATAATAATATCATACAACAAGACAGCTGACTTGATTTTTAAGTTAAATTCGAATAAAATGACCAAATTGTTGTATTAAATATATTCTTACTTAGATTTTTTTCATTATAATGTGATATAACAATAAACAAAATAGCTTTAATTTTAAATTAAAATCGTATAAATTATAATTAAAATTATTTTTTTTGTTTACTATTTTGACTATTTATTGATATGGTGTACAGACTACAGAGCATAATTAGACAATTTTGTACAAGAATAATATTCTTATTATAAAACAATAAAAAATAAAAATATGGTTATAAATGAATTGGGATTAATACTATTTAGAGTAAAAATAATTATAACATGTGGATTGTAGGTATTCAATTAAGAGGTACATCAAATTTATCGTACTTAATTTTACAAACTGGTGATTGCTGAGAACGAAATTAATATTTATTGTTGCATGTATAATTATATTATTTTTATATTTTATTTTAAGCTGTTCAATTAATTGCCGATATTTATAAAAATAATATTTAAATATAAATCGATATACTCAGCTAGATAACATTTTCTATGCCTGAATTAGTAGCTAAACAATATAGTAAACACTTTTTGAGAATGTTGTCATGCATACAAGAAGAATGATAAGACAAAATATGTTTATCTATAACAAATTTATGCATAATCGATAATTCTATAGCTACTACTATAGTTACTTTGTTGATTTTATAAAAAATTTCTCCGAAGTGAAGAACTAGAAACACACATCTAATTTAACATTTTTTTTGCACCTATTATTTTTTTGATATCTAAACAATGGATAACCTCAACTACCTAGGTGAAATTGAATTACCTACAAAACAAATGAATAGCCAAATTATGATAAATGTAATTGAAGGGAAAGATTATTATAAAAGCCACATCGACACTTATGTTGTTGTCGAAGTTCCGTTATATTTCCGTGATAAGACAGTAACTAGTAAACCATCAGCTTCTCCATCTTATTTAAAAGTAATAATGATTTATTTTAAATATACAATAAGTGTTTTGAATAAATGAAATATTCTAGACATTTATAATTGATCTTCCAACATCGTCATTGAATAATGTATTGAACACACTCATAACTATTACCGTAAGTTGTAATATGATGTTATAATTTTCAATGTTAATGTTTATAAATGTACGTTTAATAAGATTTTTTAAAGGTATATGAATCGCATAACATATTATCGTTGACAAAAACAGCTATTCTTGGGAGAGTTGTTATACAAATGTCTACAATTTGGTCAGAACCAGGTAATCGACAATCTGTTTCTGTTTTATTTTATTTTCACATAATTTCATCATTATTGATAGAATTGGCAATTAGCCACCGACGGTAGAATGTTATTAAGAGTTAAAAGAACTTAAAACTTTATAACTTATTACAAAGTAATTCTTTTTACAGTAACTAATAATTAATATTATTATTAAAATTATTTATTTATTAACGTATTTAAAAATATTTTTTTACATGATAATTCGACTAATCATTAGAAAACAAAATATATTCTGACCAGAGCGAATATATATATAATATATAATATAAATATATATATATATATATATATATATTACAATGATATGTGTGTGGTTTTTTTGTTGTTGTGTATGTGTAGATTTGAAGTAGAAATATTGAATTTCAACTTCGATTTCTTTCTTTGTAGAAAAGTAATTCTAGTTGATACTTTTAGGAGATTAAAATTGAAAATTCCAAGTAGGTACTTTTCAAAATAATCGAGAGAGGGAGACTATAAAAAACGGGTCATTTTTTATTTTTATTTCCTGATTACCTAATATTTATTACTGGGAAATTTAGATACACTATGCTCTTTGCTGCCAGAAACATATTTCGAAGTTGAAGATCGGAGAATTTTCGTTAAAATAAAAAGTATCTCCAGAGTCCAAAAGCAACAAATATTTTTAAAAAACACATATCATTGTACTACCAAGATTTCACCACTCAAAATTTAAAAAAAATGTATAAATTCTTTAAAATAATATTTGAATTCACACGGAAAAATTCAATCTAAAATAAATACTTACTGATACATTTATTTTCAACAGAAAAATCGTTTCGTAGTAAATGGTTGGCTTTAATTGATTACGGAAAACATGACTTGGGTATTAGAGGATATTTAAAGTGTGATATAGTTATGTTCTATGAGAGCCATGTGATTAATAATTTAATCCTATCAAATCCATTAGGTTCAACAAGAGAAGATACATTTAATACAAAGTTTGTAAAATATATGTTTATATAGGCCTAGAGATATTTATTACAAACTTTAAAGTACCAATTGCCTATTGGTATATACATAATACTTATTTGTCATGAATAGTGATGTAGTATGATATTTTTCATAGTATCTATCTCCTTTCATATAAAATATAAGTAATATCGAAAATAAATTTACTGACGGTTTTTTTACAATCATAATAGGTAATACATTTTTATAAATTCAATATTATATACTTACACAATAAACAAAACATTTTAATACATAAAAAGCGGGTCAGTGTAATGGATGGTGTTGAGTTTGAATCCAATGATTCACTATCATAGTATACAAAAAAACGATTCTGAGCGGAGACGGTCGGGTCCGCCTGTGTTAAAATAACATTTTTAAAGTACAACAAAATAACCAAGATCATTATTTTTCATTCAAATATCTTATTTTGTCCAAATTTGAACTGAAAACAGCAATTTAAAACTTACGAGACACCTTGTTTTTAATTTTCAATCATCATTTATAAAAATTGAATCTATAAATACTGAATAAAATGGCCTTAAAATGAGTCAAAATATTTTGATAGAAATCGAAAATTCTTCTACCTATAAATAGCTCGAAAAAAGTCAAAATATTTTTTAAATGTAATAATGTATAGAAAATTCCAAAATGGTAATATAACGTCCAGTTGAAAAAGTATCTACAGTTATTAGTATTTTAGTGACACCAAACTAACTAAATCAATTTTGTCAAAAACTGGTTTTTTGTAAAAATTACAGTTTTCTTTAATTTTGTTTGTATTTCCAAACACTTAAAAACACTTGGGAATTTTCCATTTTGACCTCTCCAAAGCTACATTCACTTTCCTCAACTTAGTTTTAATTATTTTCAGACTACTTATTGTTTTAAAGTACACCAAATACCAAAAAGACACACACACCATTGTAAAATGATCGCTCTGCTCAGAATCTAAAACATACATACGCAGAGAAGAATAATAAAAATAATATAAATTATATGAACTGAAATAGTTGACTACATTTATTTACGATATAGTTGGTGTTATCTGATTAAGTCGTTAAATATATTTGCTGTCAAAATTCAAATTCTATTGTATTCATATTGATATATTGTTCTGTATTACTACATATTTGTGCGTATACTGTTTACCACAGCAACAATTATTACTATATATATGTATTAACTATAAATTATAATCAACATTATGTTTAGTGATTTATTTATTCCGAATGGATTTAAAATGGCTACGACTCATTTAGCAAAGTATACTATTAAACTACATAAAGGTGAAATGATTCGATACTTATACGAAGAAGGTCCTAAATGGTTGTCGATTGATTTCGGAGAATCATCCGAAGTATCCAATCATCTATAAAAAAATAAAAAATTATGCATTTAATTAATTCTACTTCAAATAGACAAGTATATTACTGAACTTGAACGGAACAGAATCAAATTTTAACAAACAATATTCAACGATAAACATATATCCACCGTTATGCCCAATTATAATATTTAAATTAATTTTAACTGGAAAAATCATATCTAGCAGTGTGATATCCATGCACGATTTCATAGGAGAAGGTTGTTTATAAATTTAAACGGATAATTTTAATATAATAACGAATTTAAAATAATTACAGATGGACTTCCATGTTTCGGTCCAGCTTTCTTGCATTTTATCACATTGGAAACTCAACAATATTTTGGCAGGATACTATTATCTGTAGAAACTGAATTAGTACCATCTGAAATTGAAAGTGTTGAACGATTGCAAATTGATGACATAGATTCAATTCTTGACGAGGTAATGGATATGTAATTACTAATTTATATTATATATATTGGAATATACTAGTAATTAAGTAGATACAGCAAGAGATTTTTGTTCCTTAGCACACATTTGTCACGACAACTTTTTAACTATCTAGATCTACATACAAAGATTAAAGCCATTATACTCGTACTATAGCCATACTCGTATAGCTGGGTATTATCAATTTAATAATTAAAATAAATTGTATGTTTTACGAACTTATAACAAATTGTTATTTTAGACTCGTACTTTCATTTAAATATTTTTAGGACTTAATGTACATTCGGATTGTAATATTTTGTGTTATACTGAGTGTTAACCAAGTGCATAAAAATATCACCAAATCAAAAAGTATGACAATATCAATGGATTATGGTGAATATAATTTAGTTACTGAAAGTGAAAAAAAGGTAGGTGAGTAACTACTTATTTTTTTATTATTAATAAAAATAAATAAATAACTATAAATATTTACAACCTGTACAACCAAAAACAATAATTAAGTTTAGTATGAGCTTGCCCAAAAAATTGGATAACATGAATACGTGATGGAAGTGGAAGTTTAGTAACACGACCTTTTCTTGATCGGACTAGATTATACATATTAGTATAATATTGTATATTGTAACTATACATTTATTTACTTTTTTGTTTAGGAGTCCAATTTAGTTTTAAACTACAAGGAGGGATATGGTATTAAAAGATTTTTGTGATCTACAAATTATCCTATTGATTTCATAGTACTAGAGACTTAAGGTGTGTAATTTATTTTGAATGAAAGCAAGTACAGAGAGAGTATGTTTATTAAGGTTGTTATGAAATTGAGTTTTCTATATGAGTACATTTTATTTTTTCGTAATACTTCATCTATGTAGTATGTATACAAGCAGAGTTATTGGTATGACATAAAGAAGCTAAACATTTAAGATGATTGAAATCAAGATGAATCACCAAGCATGCTTCACCTCTTTTTTCTTCAATAAATAATAATGCAGTTATTCGAAATCTAATTTTCAAAATGTTTAAATATATATACTTAAAGACGATTTTATTTTTAAATTCTTGAGATTTTTTTGTAATAATTAAGAAGAATGTTATGGTGATCCAAACCATTTGAGAATTTTAAAATAGGGTCTTAGGTATATTTAAAAATTCCAAAAATTAGAATCTGAATAAGTTAATTTTTAAATGAAAAATGGGAGTAAGTATGCTTGGTGAAACACCCTGTATGAATTGATATTTTATGCTTAGTTGAATATTTGTAGGTACGGAATAGAATTTAATAAAACAACGTATAGCAAAATTTGTATTTTAACATACATTTTTTACTCTTCGCCTAGACGTTTGACAAAAGCCTGATTCGAATAACGACTATATATTATATAATCGCAAATGCACACATTTACACAAATTATTTAATATCGTTAGGTAGGTATGTCTCGATCGGAAGTAATTGTTTTGTTTCGAATGTTTATGTCTGTGTGTATATTTAGTACCAACTAAGAATATTGTTTTCTGAAATATTTCAAATTATTGAAATTATTGTGGTATATTCATAAGGTTAAGTTAAGTTCATTAAATCTAACTATCTATGGCCTATATGGGTGTTGTGTAAATAATATAACATTTTTCTTTAGAGCTTATTAACACACAGACGCCAGAATACGATGTAGTGTGCTTAGAAAATGGTTTTTGTAAATTATTGATTGAAGAAGATAGAAAACCATGCCTATTTTTGGTTACAAATTTACCAAGTATTGAATATTACACAATGTTTTCCATGAATTTACTGTCGAAGACTATTTGTAATATGGTAACATTATTTTATTTAATGATTTAAATGATTTAATAGGTATTCAGTTAATAATATATAACAAAAATTGTTTTCATCTAAACAGGAAACTTGCATTTTTGAGACTTGTCGTCAACTAAATTTTCAACAGTCTAGTAATAGTAAAATAGAAATTATTCAGGGAATGATAAAGAAACTTATTGCATATCTTGAAAGATTCAAACAATCATACGATAAACATATAAAATTGCATAAGCATATTCATACTTCTTGTGTCAATAATATGGTATTTTGATTTACAAATAAAATGATACTAATTGAATAATATTGATATTCACTTTAAGGGTAGAATACCGTTTAACACCAAAGACTTGTAATACAATTTGGCTCGACCTCACTCATATTTAAATTTATTCAATTTAAAATCTTAAGGCAGCAGAATAAAAAATTAAATTAAAGAATTATTTATTTTATTTATTTATACTGGCTGAGTCCAAGCGGGATCTTTATTTTTGTTTATGTACTGTTGCATGTGTTATAATAATATATTTCAAACTAAAGATGTAACGACAACTGATTAATTTTCAACATATTATTAAATCGAAAAAAAATGTATTCATGATTTATGATTTTTTTTTATTAAGTACTGATTATGAATTTAAGATTGAATATAGTAAAAAAAATTAGAGGGGTTTAAATTCTTTTAGAGGAGGCTAAGCCCCCCTAGTCCGTCTTCCACATTGCGGGTATCTACCTAGTTTGGAAAATCGGGAGAGTTGACCTCCACCCTTTTTCAGCAACTTTCAATCCAATAGTAATTTTAATACTTTTCTACATTTCCCGTAACACGTAGAACTCAGAACACTGAAAGAATTTTTAATTTCTGGGAGCGCTGCAGCACCCCCTCTGCAGGTTACACTGCCGTAGTGATTACTCGGTTTATTTTATAGATTTCAATTTAAAACCAAAAACCCTTTGAAAACCAAAATATGGCCAATTCCTTAAGTATCTATTTCTCTAAAATATTATTTTAATACATTAGGTAATTGTACTGGTTATGCTTACAGTATTTATTCAAACAATATTGTTCAAAAGAAATTGAAACAGTTATGAACCTACTTACTGAAGCAGATGTATTAATTTTAGTAAACAGAATTAAAGATACGTTTGATCAATTAATTATTTGCCCTAAGAACAAAGTAAATACTTTTAGTTTATTGTTATTTGTTTTATCTTACATTATATACCTATAACTTATTATGTTATAATGTTATATACATATATATGTATATAATTTATCGATAGACACATTGATAGATAGTAGTGTAGGTAGTTCTATATCAGTAAATTTGATAATTGTTGTTTCGTTTTTTTTTATCTTATTTAATTATTTTATAAAGTATATTGTATATGTCACCGGCAGTATGGATAATTCAGGTATTTTGAAAAATGCCTATACATTATGTATACTGCCGACCCATTTAAGGCAATGTAAATAAAACATATGATTTTCAATATTATTTTATATAATATGACCTAGGTAAAAAATACCAATTTTTTTTAGGCAAAGTAAAAAACAATTTAATATAATATGTTATAATATTATATTAAGATTCTAATAATTGTTATATATTATTACTCATATTACAAAATTTAATTTAATCTATTATTATATTTGTATACATAGGTATTGCTATATTATCAATATTATTGTTATTTTAAGTACTATTATTTATACATTTTACTTAAACTACTAGCTACTTGCCTACTTATTACAACATGTTGTAGAAAAATGGTATTTTGAAGTGACAAAACATTATTTTTAAAGCAAATCACTTTTTATTTTGACACTTGTCTTACAAATACATTTTAAAAATCCTTGGCCAGTTCCTGTCGACTGTTCTTTTGCGACTGTTCGTAACGCCACTTCTGTGTCTTCTGTGTTGTACATTTGTAGTAGCTTTTTCTGACATACTGTGAACTGACTTCTGGAGTATAAATGCTCCAGAACTTCAGAACTTTAATCTATATTGCATCAAATCGTGTACACATGGACACGGTACGCGCATTTACGATAAACTATAAGTAGTCGTTGGTAATAGGCGATACCCAAATTTTGTTTATTTTTATCATATTTCCTACTCCGCTTTGGGCATTATACATAATACCTAGGCAAAGCTCGTATTATGTATATTCCCGAGTGATTTTTGGCATTTTATTATAATGCCTATGTATTTTACAAAATACTAGATTATCCATATTGCCGGTAACATATATATTACTTAACTTTATTTTCAGTCGTATAATGGCCCACCCAATATTTTCTTAAATTTACGTAACGGTAAACAAATTGTATCAAGATGTCAAATTCAAACAAGACACTTTTTATATTCTAAAAGTTCAGAATGTAAAGGACAATTTTGTAAGAAAATTCGACCTTGGTTTTTGGTTAGTTATTTATTCAAATAAATTAAGTTAACATAAAACATTTATTGCTGAATTTACCTATTATAAATGAAATTTTCATTTTTTCATTTTTTAATCTCGTAATTATTTCATACTTGAAAGGCAACAGAAAAAAAAGAAAACGTATTCGATGGAATTATGGAAACTATATTTTGGATAGGACCATACGAGGATTTCAATGTGGGAATAAGAAAAATTCCCGGACTTCTATATAATAATTGTAATGATCAGCCTTGCTCACAATATAATTTCAAGTTATATGATAAAACAGTAATTTTTAATTATTTACTAATGAGTAGGTTAATAATATGCATGTAAATTATGTATTCATATGTTAACCAAAACTAATTTAGTTCTTACAAATCAGAGCACATATAAGTCAAGCAGCTCTAACCGAAAAATGTTACAAAAAACATAGTCAGTTAAATTTAATGGCACGAATAATTTTTAACGGGCATTCAATGACAACCAAAGTATGAATATTCTGTTGAGTCTTATAATAATGAGTAAAGTTATTAACATTCAAGAACAGTGTCATAATCGGGAGGGAGGACAAGCCCTTCCCCGAAATGTTTTTATGAACAATAGTATCATAAAGTAACAAACGATATTGTGATAAATATTCTAGTTCTATACCAAAAAAATAAATTTTAAAATCAAATGCTCCCCAAAAAAATGTTCCGGTTACGACACTAATTGTGAATGTTAATTACTGTAAAAATAACGCTACGCTTATAATTTATTGATATTATTTTATTATGTGTATTTTTAATAACTTTACTGAAATCTGAAAATTATTTATAATGTTAGGCGATCGACTCAAATGTATCGACGTCATGGAATATATCGATTTTGTTTAAGCCAACTATATTTATAAGATATGGAGATACTAATAAAAGTACACCGATGTATGTAATTATTCAATTATGCCACTTGGGAACAAAAAAGAAGAAACTAATAGAAGTAAATATTAGTCGTGATGAAAAGGAATAGATTAATCTGTTGATGCATTATAAACAATAATATTGTCTTTTATAGAATGTTATCGCCTTTACTGTTATCGATGTAAAAGGAATTGAAAATTCTTCACGTAAGACATTGGATTGGTATGACATCGTGGATAATTCAGAAAAAATTGGTAAAATGTATATGGCTGCCGAAATCATACAAACCGCGTCTAATGAATTAACAGAAACCGTTAACGATTTGAGCTTTCCCTTATTGAAACACGTGCAACCCAATCTTCGTGTTTATCAGTTAGTATTTTATTAAAAAATCGAATAAAATTAAAATTTACTTGTCAACATCTTCTATTACAGATTAGTTGTACTGTTTTGGGGCTTGCGCCAGTTGAACGTACATTTGCACGAGCCTTTTGTCCGATTATTATGCTCGACTTTAAGCATTGATTCTGATATAATTAAAAATGTTAACTCCTTTTCAAATTTCCCAAATGCCGTTGCAAAAAAATGTGTACTCAATTTAGTAAGTATAAAATAAATAAATATTTGCTCAACGATTTGAATACCTAACAAAATACTATATTTCAAAGGAATTACCAGAAGATCCAAATCTTATACCTCCAATAAGTTTTCAAATTTTTTCTAAGTTAATTATAAAAAATACTCACACTTCGCTCGGAATATGTGTCTCTCAACCATTAGATGAATTTATAGTTCCCTCTATATTAAAAACTCAACAGAACGAACGACCAGATTACTCGAGTAAAATAAAATAATCATTTTATTTATTTTTTTTAATCACATGAAAATAGTTTTAGAAATAGAAGACGAAGAAAAAGAGGAAAAAAAATCCAAAATTAAGAAAAAAATCCAAAAAAAAAATACTTCAAAAGTAATAAATGAATTCGATAATTTTAAATAGTATTTAAAACTAAAACGTTTTCCAGGTTAATTCAAAATTTAATTGCAGTTTTTTAAAACAAAAATTTGATAGAAATTTTCCAACGTGTTTAAAGAACTTTATTTTGTGGATAATTGAACACATAACATTTGTCTTAACATTATTATACAACACAATATGTTATATACTCCCATTTGTAAATGATATTACTGATTGGACTTCGTACAATGTAAAAAATTATATTAGCTATTTTGGGAACAAATATAATCCTTTGAATGATGATGACCTTGAAGAAGACGAAAAAGAGTTTTGCTGGTGGACAAAATACTACGTGTTCAAACATCAAAAGGTTGTAAAATGTCACAATTCTACTGATACATATATAATAAAGGATTGGCTATAGTATTTTATCGTTGTCCTATGTTAACACTATGAGGAAATTAAAAAAACATGTTGGCATATATATTGTTGATTTATATTTCTAGAGCATATCATAAGATATTTTTCAAAAATGTATATTTATTATTGATTCATAATTACAGAAAATATTCCAAGAGAATAAACATGTAAGTGTGATGTTCAACAAACTTCTACCAAGAAAATCAAATAAAACCCATATTCCTGAATATTATTTGAAAACTAAATCAACAACAATACACGTATATACCTAGTTTAAAATAATGACTAGTAATTATAAATGAAATAAGTTTTTTTTTAAATTAAATCAGCTATACGATTGTGAAATAGAAAGTGTTCCGGAATTTAACGGATTTGAAGACAATTTAAAAAAATTCAGAATCTATGGTTTTGATCAAAAGAATGAAAAGGCAACAGTTGTTGCTATATTAAAAGTAATTATTTGTAATAGGTATATTACGAGTTATGACTTTTCTATCTTAAACACCAGTGACACCTAGTACCTATTGTCTTACAAGTAAAATACAATTACATAGTTATAGTGTTGCTATAACGTCATATAAAATTTATTCCATTCGTGGCAAGTTTCTTTCCACCCGTATACTATGGTAATTTGTATATTATTTTTCCTCACACGTTAGTACTTACTGCCATACAACTTAGGTTCAATTTTATTTTAATGCGTATTTTGTATATTGTGTGCGTATTCATTTAGGGAAACGTGCATTTGTATCCAATGCCAGTTGGTAACGACAAACAAGGAACGTCTCAAGAACAATTATTTTCAAACACTGCATATCAAATATGGCCAGGATTGAAATCGAATGCGGCATGCAAAGTCGTCGTGCGTGCTTATATATTGAGAGCATACAACTTACATCCCGGCGATATTAGTGGACTATCAGATCCATATGTAGAAATTGTCTTAGGGAAATCCATTCGCATATCGGATAGCAAAAATTACGTCCCTAAAACATTAAATCCTGTGTTTGGCAGGTAAATATAAGTTAGACACAAAACAACGTGTCCAGAATAAAGCGTAGTTGTGTGCATATTATAACATATATATAAACAATATAATATCACATTATGTTTTGTATTCAGCGGTGGTGGTTTACATTCAATGACGTAACTATGACCTTTTTTTTTGGGGGGGGGGGGATATGGATATTTGTCAATAATAGCAGGACAAACAAATATATTTAATAAAATAAATGTTTGCATAACTTAAATGTTAAATAATACGAGTATTAAACATTTATAAATAATTTTAATTTAATAATAAATGTTATCATTTTAAATCGTATACGTTAGAGCAGAGGTTCTCAAACTATGGTAAGCGGGAGACTACATGTCGGTACGCGAAAAGCCACAAAATGACAGAACGGAGAGTAAATAAATGACTATTTTAAATTGTGTTTGAATATGGTCACATGGAAATAGACATAAGTGGTACACGACTGATTAATAGTACACACGAGTGGTACGCGAAAAAAAAAGTTTGAGAACTAATGCGTTAGAACTATCTGACAAAGAAAATGAGTAGCTGTGATGGCCAGTTTTTCACGCTAGCCTCAGACTTAAAAATGTTTTAGTGGCAGTAGTTGGTGCTGCAACCGCTATCGAATTAATTTAAATGTACATAATACAATGTTCGGTCTTGAGGCCAATATCGTTAGATAAGATTAAACTACCCTACCAAACCCAACGAAATCGATTACGATTATTATAGGTATAGCTATCTCGGCTCGTGGCTCTTGGCCCGTGACTGTGTCGAGAAACTGTGGTGTGGTAACTTATGTGACTAGCCGAGCAGCGCGCTTCACTCTGTGCGAAGCATCACCATTTCCACGGTGGCCTCTATACTCTATATTATAGAGTCTATAATACCAATCCAACACGAGCCACGAGCCGAGCCACGCGTCGTGCATTACATCATGTAGTATTTTTATATTGGTGATGACTATAGGTATCTGTTAACTTTAAAATATAAATTAAGTTTGATGAAGTTATAAAAAGTACTTTTGTGATTTTCTTAAAAATTATTAACATTGTTTTATATAATTTAAAGTTACTACAAAATATCATTTTTGAAAAATAGCTATATTTTTTTGAATGCCTATATATAATAATACATTTTTAATTTCATCTTCCGAAACAAAATATTTTTACAAATGTCATTACATTAAAATTGAATTTTGAATAAGTAGTTAACTGTGTATATGTGTTTGAAATTTGAATTTTTAAGTTTATATGATTGGAAAATAGTGGATCAATATTTTGTTTGGAATAACCCTGTATCACCCACTCTACTCGTCAAAACTGTTAATGCTTATAACTTATAAGTAAACTACTCTTCTAAAATTTGATTTTGTAATATTAATATATTGAAATTCATAGAAAAATATTTTCCTTCAGAATATCAAACTAAAAAATGTATGCATAGTCATTCAAAAAAATAAAAACTTAAACGACTACGATAAAAAATTTAAAATGACTTAAACATTTGGTTAAACATTAAAAGACTTTAACTTTTATTTTTTTTTTTTACTTTTACTTTTACTTTTTTTTAAAGATTCAATGACTTAAACATCTAAAAAAAAGTATTGTCACAAATTTTAATATTTTTATTTTTTTGAGAAATTGAATGTTTACCGAATCACCTTGTGGACTGTACATACTGTGATTCTTGCATGGGCAGGGAGGCCAGGAAGGGGCTCGAGTATATTTAATTAATTTTCATTTGTAAAAACAAAAAATACAAAGAATTTATTTTAAACCATAAGAAACATGTATTTTTAATTTCGATAAGGTGTTTTGAAAGAGTAATATCGTTCCCAGAATGTTCAACGATGAAAATAAGAATTATGGATTACGATAGAATCGGGAAAAATGAATTGATCGGTGAAACGACAATTGATATAGAATCGAGATATTACAGCAAACATAGAGCTTACTGTGGACTACCAAAGCAGTATAACAAGTAATCAATAGATGAATATATAAAATACCGTTCATTCTTATTTCCGACATACTCGTATATTATGCAATAGATAAAAAAATGAAGTCTGACACAAATTCACTATAATATACTAAACTATATGTATATCGGATTTTGAACATTTAATCGGTATGGGTTAGTGGCACGTTGCACGTGTCACGATAGTGGTTTTGAAAGCATTCGCCTCAGTCAAAAAAATATTCTGATAAGAACTGTTAGAACTGTTCGTGTAATTTATAATCATCTTAATTCATGAACGAGGTATGACACAATCAATACGAGGGTTTCTTAATGAAAGTAGTTAAGAATTCAAATTTAATGCTTATCAGTTATCACATTTAAAGTAGTTGACTTTATAGTATACATCGCTGCCATAATTGAAAACAGTGCAGTACTTAACATCAGTGTTAATCACCTTCAAATAGATCTCTTAAAAGTTCTAATGTTTTCATTTTTACTATTTTTCTACTAAATACGTGGGTCTTTTCAATAAACATTTAACATTTGGGAATCGATATAAATCATGAGTAATAAAATATAATAAGTATAAATACTATGAATTATATTGTGGTACCTGCTGTTACTGTGAATATTAAAGCTTGAAAATGGCTTCCTTTTAATACAATTTTAATTTTCAAAAAATCCACGAAAGGAAGATGAATTGAAAATACACCGTGAGCTAGATCATTGTTTTGGTGAAAAAAAATTAATAATGGCCAATTTTTTTTCATGTTATCTGGACATCTGGCTATATAGGGAATAATGACTGTTGAATGAAGGTTCCTACTGGACAGACAGTCAATCAATATTATTATAAAAAGTATAAACTCAATTGAGATAACGCGTTAGATAAAAGTGACCAGATTTGTGAAACAAACATTGGGTACTTTGCCAAACAAATTGTCCAGCTCAAAGAACATTTTCAATACAATGTTTTTAACCAAAAAAGTTTCTACACTCCCTTAACCCCCCTTCCTCTACCCACCGCAAACCATATTCTTTGAGATGTTTTGAAAATGTTTGTGAAAGTTTATCAAAAGCAACCCATTTTCGGGCGTTGATAATAATAAATAATACTAATAATAAAAATATATATAGTAGGTAAAACAACATAATAATTGATGTCAATCTGCCATAGTACTTAGCCATTTTATATCGACTGTTGAATGGCACAGAATAACTATTATTTAACTATAGGTCACTTATTATTATTATTAGAATAATTATACTGTGGTTGAGGTAGCTAAGCGAGCGCCAGAGACTAGCGCCTTTGATGTTCTATATTCTATATAATTCCGTTCTGTCCCTTTTTTATATTATATCAATTATAAACAGTACAATTTTAATCATGTATCATTTGTTTTTATGATTTTTAATATTAATTTTTTAAAACTTTGTCCATTATATTTAGGGATGGATACAATCGTTGGAGAGATAGTGAAAAACCTTCAAAAATTTTACATAAACTGTGTTTGTTACATTCATTGAAACATCCAATATACACGACGAACAGTGTTACAATTGGTCTTAAAACATTTCACGTCCACGAAGAAAATATTGAATCCGATAGACAATCATTGGCATTGTATGTATTAAACCATTGGCAAGATATGCCAGTTGTTGGTTATCATTTAGTGCCCGAATATGTAGAAACTAGGACATTATATAATCCAGATATGCCTAACTTACATCAAGTAAGATAAATAATAATAACTAGGCGTAATAAAGATAAAAAAAAAATCGAATTTTTTTAAGGGGACGTTAGAAATGTGGGTCGACATGTTTTCCAGGGATAGTAATATTCCTGAAATGGTAGACATTAAGCCACCAATTGTTGAACTCTACGAACTTCGTGTAATTATTTGGTCAGTCACTGATGTAAAACTCGTGGATAGCAACTTTTTTACAAAAGAAAAACACAGTGATATTTATATCAAAGGGTTCATAAAGCTGAATTTTTTGATTTCAACTTTGATAACGTATTATATTTTTGTCTTAGATGGTTGCCAGGTGTCGAAAAACGATCTACAGACGTTCATTACCGATCATTGAACGGTGAAGGATTGTTCAACTGGAGACTGAAATTCTCGTTTCCTTATAATAAAACGGAAAATATTATTGTCTACAGAAAAAAAAATTATTTTGGTTTTGACCACGAAGAACAACAATTTTCTCCAAAGTTAAATCTTGAAATTTGGGATAACGACCAGTTATCACCGGATTTATACATAGGTAAATTAAAAATTTTATGACGAAAGTTATGAGTTGTTTGTATTGACCCAAATCTCATACACCGTACAATTCAGGTTCTTTGACTTTGAACTTGCGCAATATGCCTCGTGGGGCAAAATCGTCATGGATGAGTAACTTATCCGAAATGTCCCGAATAAACTTGTTCAAAGTAAAAAAAACAAGTGGATGGTGGCCATTTATTTCCACGGAAAATAATAAAAATACTATTGTAGTAAGCTCTCTACTAGTTAGTGATTAAGCTTTTTCTACACAAAGAATTATAAAACAACTCTGTTAATTGTGTTTAACAAGGGTAAAGTAAATGCCGAAATTCAAATTATGACCAAGCAAGAAGCGGATAAATCACCAGCTGGATTTGGTAGAGATGGTCCTCAACCTTTGACCGTACCGAAGTAATTCTATTTTGCTTCATAATAAACGACCGTGGAATAATAATCTATAATCTAACATTTACAGGAGACCGTCCACTCATTACTTAAAAGCAATTATGGATCCATTTAAGTTTGTATTCCGAAGTTTATTCTCAGCTAACAGAACAAAATTTTTAGTTATTTTATTAATTGTTTTTGTGGTATTGTTTTTTCTCATAATGATTTATGCGATTCCAGGAAACTTAATAAGAATACTATTTGACAAGTTCTTCAAAAAAAATTAACATTATTTTATTTTTATTTTTTATAGATAAAATAATGTTGTAAATTAAATCTTAAATAAAATAAAACTTATAACTTTAAGCATAATTAGCGTTGCATGGTTGTTGAATATAGTTTAAGCAAAAACCGCGATTACCCATGTCATTTGGCATTTCTACAGCATTTGTGTGAAAAGATAACCGAAAAGGCCGGACACTACCTGTGAACAAAACGTTATCAAATATTCAAAATGGTCATTAAATGAATAATTTTAGTCAAAGATTTTCCGAATTTTTAAATTTATATAAATAGAATATTTTCAAATTTTTGAGATTCATGCAGATTTGTTGTACTACTCAAGAAGTGCCCTGTGAAAATACAAGATCTATTTTTTAAATGATACCTCCCTTTTCTACTGTAAATTATTTAGTGGATAATATATTTATGTATACATATCTGTTAATTATTATATGTAATTTTTGCACCCTGTTTCTCTGTACAATAACTACCAAGCTATGTAAAACCTATGTAATCTACCTAACTACAACGTATATAAACACTCATACAGTCACCATATATGTTATAATATGTACAATTATCACTTGGCATTTAGTAAAAAAAAAATAATAATAATTTTATGAAATGGTGTGTCATGATCAAAATCGAACGAGTACTTTTTGTATTATTTAACTTTGTATACTATGGATCAGGTCCATGATAATGGGTTCGGAAAACATGGGAACTATCAACGTGACTTGAAAATTGTAGTAATTAATGAAACTCATAATTTTAGTACCTAATGTATTTATTGAATAAAAAATTAGGGTGGCTGGGGAGCATGCTTGGTCAATTACCGTGGATAGGTAGGTTACGAGTAGTATAATATCAATAACAGGCTACTTGATTTATAAAGAAGAAAAAACCTATAAGTATACCTAATTACCTACTACATAATACGTATCATCATAATAACTAATATATAGTATTATATTACGAGTAGTTGTGAACAAAAATAATTTCAACAATATTCCATACGAAAATTCTAAACTTTCTTACTCATAACGGTCGTTGGAATTGTAGTGTAGTCTGTGTTCAAAGTGCCACCGCATAGTCTGTCCACGCAAGTATTCATGCCGGACGCCACGGGCCCTTGCTTACTCGAAACGCACGGTATTATTAGGTAATCAGAATTACACGGACTTGATCCAACGCTACCCACATTCGCTTGCACCGGATTTTGACCCAACGTATTTCCGGTCAAGGTGAACGCGTGGCTTCTGTTGTTCACTACAATATCAGGTAATTATTATGTCCGTGAAAATATGTGTTTTACATTGTTAGTTAATTCTCGCTTTTTCTTTCTCAACCGGTGAACATATAGCGATTTAATCGACATTTAACCACTCACTTTGATCGTCGCAAGCTGAATACTGTACGGAACAAAAATTTCGCTCCGTCCTCAAGCATATTGTATAATCCTGATTTGACAAATGAAGGCCGAATGAGGATTCGTAATTAAACGACTTCAGCGTACCCGATACTCCGGTGTAATATTGCAAGCAACCGGTGTCGGCTAGAGTTGAACACAATAGACATAATGTTATTGTAAATGCTTGAACAAATCGGTATATAAATAACGGATATGATTTGTACCTAGGCGATAGCCAATAGGTAACTAGTATATATTACCTAGTCGGTACCTATGATTTGGATGCATAGCTTAAAAAGTCATGTCTTAGAATGTCAAGTTTTAGAATACAAAACCTTCAGAAAACAACAATGTCATAGCCAATGTTTTTATAATACTTAGACAGTTTTTTTTTTCAAAAAACCATATATTAGATCATAAATAATTGAATAATTAATACAATTTGATACACAATAGGGTAAAAAAAGAAAATTATGAACCCCCCCCCCCCCCAAAAAAAAAAATCAAATATTTGTAAATAAAAAATAGAAAATCATAATAGGTATTATAATCATAAATGATCTAAGTAGTTAAATTAATTTGGAAATATCTGCAATTTATAAGTAGTTGTATGTACTGTAATATTAAAAATGGTTTTTATATAATATATTATATTGGTACCCACGCAATATATATATTTAACTTTTAACTTTTTTATTAGTAGGTTTTAGAATTTAAGTGTAGTATGATTTCAAATTTGTTTTTAAGTTCTGAGGAAAAACTTCGATCGTGGTGTAAACAAGATGTTTGTAACTAACCCTTTGTAATTGAGTCGCAAGGTATCTGGCTAACTTTTATCTTCCAGTTTCTTTTTAAAAATATGCCACTTGTAACCATTGTCAATATAATTGGACTTGTGCCCGTGCCAGCATCCACGTACACTATAGTTAATCAAAACATTAATAATTAATTATTAATCTCCAGTGACAATACGTGAGTGTGTTTATAAAACGCGTCATTTTACAGACTGGATATTGCATGTATAGTTACAAGAAAAAATAATTTAAAAAATCAGGATGAAAAAAGGTAAAATTGTTTTTGTAATAATGCGTTGTGCCAAGTATACGTACTGTGGCTACCGGTTGCCAGTCCGCAGATAACAGGTACGGGATTCGAACCAGAAACGATGAACTGGTCATTGTCGCATTGGTGGTTGACAGGCTCGGGCCCCGTAATGGAAAAACGTTCAAAATCCAATCTAAAAAATGTATTTGGTATACAGATCAATTCAGTGACCTTTAATATATGATGTACATTACGGTATGACCGTAGGCGCAACTAGGGTTAAAATTCTTGGGGAGGGGGGGGGATGCTACAGCATAACTAATAAAACTATTAATTAAAAATAACCAATATACTGCAGGGCTTAATTCTAAATCAATGATGGATATTTTTGGAGGGGGGCTAAATCGCAGTCGGGAGGTGGGCTAAGCCCCTCCCTAGATTTCCTCCTTAGTTGCGCCACTGGGTGTATAATTTTTATATTTTTTTCTCGTGCTCTATATACACACCTGAACTGACAAATATACGGAGATAATTTGTGTATAGTCACTTGACACGTCCCGGTGTTGTTCAAGCCGTCCGGATATCCTGCATTCACAAAATATGTGCCGTTTTCTCGGATGGTCTGGCCACATGTAGACAATGCTAGATGTGTATGATATTATATTATGGTACGAGGATTGTTTTAATAATCTTAATCTATACTAATATTATAAAGAGGAAATAAGATTTGATTGTTTGTTTGTATTGAATACGCTCAGAAACTACTGAACCGATTTAAATGAAATTTGGTACATAGATAGTTTAGACACTGAGAAAGGACATAGGCTACTTTTTAATATTAAAAAGAGCTATGAGGGGTTGAAATCGGGGATGGTATTAATATATCTAGAGTAAACTAGTTGGTAGATATTAATTCTTCGATTTCTGGCTGGCAGATACCGGTGTTAAATGTCGTATTTGGCATTTTGTTCTGTATAGTGCATATGCTCAAGATTTCACTTATCGACAGTGCCTCAATGGTGACGGAAAATAACTGTACAATTGATGTAGGTATAATCTATTAGGCTAAATCCGGATTCACAGCTACGCTGTGTGCCATGTCGTGCGAGGGCATGGTAACTATATGATGGTTACAACTGGTAACCGTATTGGCTTAAATGTTGCAGAACTGAAGTCAATCCTTATTGATGTACCCGGTTGTGACTTGGTCCGTACACGATACCAAAAAAGTGTTCTCCAATCACAATGCGAGATTTGATGGACACGACACACGACGTAGCTGTGAATGAGCCTTACAAGAAAATTTGATCTTACACAGACAGCAAACGCCGTATGAATTAGCACACGACCCGATGGGCACTCCTCGGTGTTGATAGCATTCGGTAGATGTCATGCAAATGCCGCTGTCTCCGGACGACGAGTAACATGGTTCGTTGTCGAATTTGACGATTGTGAACAGCGAGAGCACTGTAAGGTCAAGCGAAAATTTAGAAACGACGATATTACAATTTCGTCTGGTTTCAAACAAAAGCGTATAACACTATAATATTATTCTACGCGAGCAAGGGTGTATTGGAGAGGAGTATACTCGTATAACAATATTAACAGAGAAATGAAAACAAATTCATTCGTTCGACAAAACATATTCATTTCTTAAGTATACTGTGGGTACCATACGGTGAATTGGGGGGGGGGGGGCAGTGAGTGTATTATTGTATTATTAATTGTTTATTATTTTGTTTTGAACAACATTTTTTCTATTAAAATTCCGTAGTGGTTCCCCGTGACCCGCCACAGTCACACGACCACCACACTATAGACTCGAGAACTACGAACATTATGGAATCATAAATATAGCTGATGTGTTGTTCGGAATTCAGATCACCGACTGAAAATATTTACAGTAGATAAAAACAGATTTATATTATCGCTACATACGTAAATTAAATGGATATAGATTGTATTTTTCGTTTTTTTTTTTAATAACGCGTGTTGTTTGAGAACTAAGTAGTATGCGTCAATGGCATGTTTTTTTGACTAATTTTCTAGGGAGAACATTTTTTCGAGATTTGTTTTTGGAAAATATGGCGTATACTTAAAACATTATTTACCAATACATCCCTGCAATATAATATTATAATGAACTGATGGTAGGTATACTGATGACTTACATCGGTTTTGTTTTTTTAAACTGGACTGTCGTTTTGTTCCTGCTCTTAAAGGACGGTTACCTTTAAAGATTTCAACCGCCCTATCGTTAATTGTCTAAAATAGAATACAGAATATTTAATTACTCCACACTAAAACAATGAGAATAAACTTTAAAAATACGGCCAATGTGCAGTTAATACCTCCTAATCCCTTAGAATAGAATGTAATTAATCAGATACCGGAATAATTGTAGTTATCTATCAGGAAGCGAGTAATATCATAAAAATATAATTGTGACTGGGACTCCATAAATCTCGTGTTAAAATAAATGTTGCTAAAATTATTATGTTCTGTAATAAATTTAAATTATCAAAATATACCTTTAAATATAGAGATGTGTATTAAAAAATTAATAGAAAAAAATCATCACAATTTATGATAGTATTGTTATGAATGTAGTACAGGGCTAAAAAGATAAGTTTCACCATTAATTCTATAATGTACTAATCTAAAATTTGTTATATTATATAATCAATGATTTTACTCAGGTCTCTATCCTCAGAGAGTAATATTATTATTTATTAGCATAAATAAATAAAGCCACTCTATTATCTATAATAAAACTTGATCTAATTAATTTATACGCTATTTGAAGTGGTCCATTTAACGTAAGACACGAATTATTTTGGAAAATACTGACGTTTTTGAAACTACTTCTCTTACGTAATTTTAAATAGTTATAAAACATTTAAAAAAAAAATTATACTATACATTTTGAGCGTAGTTAAAGAGATTGTAAATATAATACAACTAATACAAAGGGACCTTATAAGTTACTTCACTATAACAGCTCAAAAATAATAAAGATTCATACATAGGCATGACTTTTTTTTAGATGCATTTGAAGTTCAAACATTGGCAAAATTCATTAAAATCCCAAAAATTTGAAAATTATTTTCCAGTTAGAAATTCATAAATATTTTTCTATCATAGCTAACATTATAAATTTTAATAGAAGATTTCTAACAAGTTTCCTAAGACAATGTAAAATCAAAAAAAAATGTAATGATACATTCATGAGATATTTTCGATTTTTATTAATTTTTTTTAATTTTCAAATTTGATTTGTATACAAGTAATCTAGGAAAGTCTCCGCTCAAAACTATTTTTGGTATGCAATGATTTATTACAATGCCATACTCGACAACTACTGCACAGCAGAGTGGTACCCACGTCCACCTTTTTTTTACTATTTTTCATAGTTATAACTTATAAGTATAGTCCATGCTTCAAAAAACTTTAATATATGCTGTAAACAATTTTAAAATATGCTTGATAAAACGATTATAACGTATTACTATTTATGTTTTTTTTTCATTTGAATGACAACACATTTTTTTAATATCATTTTCCGAAATTAATATTATTGTGAGTATTATGATGTGTAATAATTAATTTTCTTAGTTAAAATTAATGCAATTTTTGATGAATGGAGAAGTGGGTCAACATTTTGCGCATTACACTTGTACCACTACTCCACTCAGCTAATCAACACATAAGCGCTCGTTGTCAATGTAATTTTGTCCACAAAAAGTGGATTGATAGTATTATAAATAGTATTATAATAATAATATAATTTTCAAATTTTACAGAATTGCTAAAAATTTGAAAATTCGGTGTCGGGCCCCTTTAACACTACTAACTCATAAGCAATGTACTCGTTAAAATTCGATTTTTATACATCGAAGTATTCCAACAAATATTCTATTTTGGAATGAGGAATTAAAATTGCACGTTGTCAAAAAATAATTTAAAAATGATAACAATAAAAAGTTGTTAGGTACCAGCATGCAAAATAATATTTTCAAAAGCTTAATTTTTCTTAAATAATGAGTGTCTTACATTAAATAGATCAGTTAAAGCTTTAGTTTCGTTAAGCACTCAATAGAACACAGAATGAAATTTAATATAATATTAAATCTATTTTATATTTCACCTAACCTAACAAGTAGAACTGTATAATATTATTATAAAGAGTAAGTAGGTACTATTTCTATCTACTTACAGTATTTGAATTCGGAGTATCAAATGAAAGATTCGAAGACGACACGACAATCGGTGTTACCAAACTTATTAAAATGAATAATTTTAGTTTTGAACTCATCGCGCAATCAAAAAACGACATAGACATTTCTGAAGAAAATTGTACAAAGTTGTTTGTATAGCTACCGGCCAAGACACATTTTACTATCTTACAATATACGTAGGTATGCAATGTTCACAACTGAGCTCGTTATTTTTATACGAAAAACGAATTCTATAACGCCATTGTTTCGCTAAACCAAATAATAATTTTCATTTTCACCAAAGGTACTTACTAAAACAACAATGAATGCGGACCAACTCGTTATGCACACATTAACATTGTAAGTCACTTAAATTACGTTCCAATGATTTCTTCTTTTATTTTTGAGACAATTTTCCGGTTAAAGATTTAACGGATGTTATTATTGTTATACAACTTGGTATTAAATTTGTATAATTACAATGTAGTTTGTCACTATTCAAAACTAATTAAAAATGTTACTAGTTTCTATAAACATAATATTATACAGAACTCACCAGTTTTAATAAAGGAAAAAAGTTCCTCACTATAAATAACCATTAGGTAATTTATGCAATCAGTGTAGTGTCAGTCAGGGTAGCGTGGCCGCTGGCCCAGTAATTTTTAATGGGCCCTGCGCCTCGTACGAACTTAGGCAAATTTAACTGTCTTTTGATTTGTATACATCAATACATTTCAATAGTAACATAATATTATATTGTTTTTAATTAAACATGTATTAGGTATTTAGGTATTCAAAATTATTTTTATCATAATAATTTTAAAAAAAACTTATAACAACCGTTTTTTTTTGTTGCAGTTTACAAGTATAAAATAGTACATTATTGTATTGTAAAAAAGTGTTAACACGAATAACTTTTAATTTGACTTTTTCTTCCGCATAAAAATGATTTTAAACGTCCCACTCATCACGACTCATATAACATATATTTGTTATATTCAAGTATACGTTTTTTCATTTGGCTATGGACGCCCAGTATTGAAAAATATGCAAGGGTCATCGGAAATTGCCGGGTGGACCAAACAAACACTGTATAAGAACTATTTTATTATGCAATATAAGTATATAGCTGCAATCTGCATACATCCATACATTGTCAATTGTCACATTATAGATAAACGTAAAATACCTATGCTAGTCAAATAAAATAATACGTAATTTAATAAACGTATGCAATAAGCAAATAAAAAATAATTCAATAGCATTCTTCACAGATTTTATGGCTTACTTTTTATAATATTATCACGTATTATATATTATATTAATGTAGGTACAAGTACTCGTATGGCTGCAAACTGCATTCTACTTTGCTCGCCGTTGCACATGATTTTTTTTCGGGACAGAGATGGGTTTCCATGACTTCTTACCGTATTTATATTTATTTTATCGTATACCTATAGATACGACATAAATATAAAATATATTTTAAATGTGATATCATATTGTTATCCTAAAATATAAATAAACCATTTAGATTCAACTGCAATTTTTATTTTTTCAATGTTTCATTTAGTTCCATGTAAAATTGGAAATTATTAAACGCTAATTTTACTTAAGAAATTTCATTTTTTTTTTTACTTATCTATACCAGATAAATTGTTTATTAGAAAAGTTTCACTATAAAAGCACAAATAAATATAATCACATAGGTACTAGTTATTTTAGCCATAAAAACTAAGTACCGATTGTTTTCATTTTTAAAACAATTATTATCATATCAAGCATTGATTTCAAAAAAGATATTCTGAGCTGAAACTTAAGTAAAAATAAATAAAAAATCTAAAAAAATTCCAGTAGATACCTACTTCATTTCTGGATAATTAAAAAACTATATAATAGTATAATAACTGATAATTTTCCAAATTTAAGTGGTGAGAACCATTTTTTAACTTTATTACTATAACAAAAATGTTTAAGAAATTAAAAATATAAAATTATCGTATGGAATATTAAATATAAGTACCGATAAAATATAATATAGATATAGTATACTTCATCAACTTTTGTAAGCTTGTCAGGGTTGTGAAAGGAGTAGGATGTTAAAATATATAATTACCAACACACTTGTTCGTTTTTAAAACTTTTTAATAAAAGACGTAAAGTTAAACGATAATTATAATAATAAAATATATATGCTAATGTTAAATATAAATCAATTTAATTCGACGTTGTAAAAATTCTATGTCTCATCATCGTGTTATATGTTGAATACAATGCTCCGGTGGTGTATAAAACTCCGATTATCAAACAACCTCCGCCGTATACGTAAAACTAGAAAATTAAAAAGTATTCTTTATATACACAATATGCAAGACTAATACATATTTACAATAATCAGGCATAATAATATACACCGTCATTTGACACGTATATGTGAAAAAACAGCCACCCGATGGCAATTCTTCATAACAACTTTGATTGGTCCAGATTTTATTTTTTTTCGTCACAAATGACTGATTAGTTCAGATTTTGGTCTCTGCGCCACCATTAAGTCTTTGAATATTGTCGGAATCAACAGCGGATATATTAGAAGTAATTTTGCTTTCAAACCAAATTTTAATATATTCACCAAGTGAGTTATAAAGGGCTTTTCGTCTATAGTTTGATAATAGTAAATTGTCATTTTATATGATCTACCCAGATCTATAGCCAAGAGGACCAGTATTACCAGATACAATAAAATTTTAGTTTAGTTTAACTGTAGTAACTTCTAAGTAACAGGTGCCAGCATGTACAATACATGGCAAACTATTAAAAAGAATTTAGTGGGTAAACCCCATGTAGGTTCTATAATTGTCGGTTTATGATGGAAACCAAAATGTATAAATTATGATAGTAATTAATAACTTTACCTGTGTTCTAATGTCTAACATGAGACCTATCGGACTATTTACAACCACTGTCAAACAAGTTTGCAATAAGAGTGACATGAATGTGTTAACTCCAAATACCAATGCATAGCTGTCAGCAGGTATATTTTTAGCTACTTCACAACTAAAACAAATAAATATGTATTTAATTATTATGAGATTATCAACAAAAACACCTAATTGATTCAAAAAATTAATGATTTCGAAGGAAAATATTTTAACTAGATACTATTAAAATTAGATTTTATTAAATTTCCTTCTTTAAAAAAAGCCTGTACATTATTTTTATAAAAATTTTTTGAATCGCCAAGAAGAGTATTCTTCTCTTTGTTTATTCTTAAAATACTATTATTATGACTACTATTTTTTTTTTTTTATTCAACTTAAGCCCGGCGACTAAGGCCATTAGCTTTTGTATGGGTTATGAACTGTGGTAGGGGTAAGGCTGATACGGTAGGTTATTTTTTTTTACGATTGTTACGGTTGTTACCGTATGGGTAGCAAACACGACGTGTATGTGTGGCAAGGTTTTTAACTACTATGAACCCGGGTGGTCACCCATCCGGGAGCTAGTAGCTGCGGCCGTTACTTCCAGTCGCATTCCGGGTTAGGCTAGCAGTCAACGCGCCACGCCGAGCCACATACTATTATTTAATACGTTGAATTGCACTATACTTACTTGGCTGCAGTGGCCATGATATGATAAAATGTTCCAAACATTACGTAGCCAACATATGCGTGTGATAATAATGTATCTTGAGCCATTATCAACAATAATATGCCTTGGCCAAGAGTTAAAGTACCCACTAACCACCAACTTGGTATTGTTATGATTCCGACCAAATAAACTCCCAGTGTACCTTCAAAAAAATACATCGATATAATTAAAGAACTCATAAAAATTTTCAATTTTTTAAAAATGTACGAGACAATAGTACAAGACTAATGACTTTATAAAGATCTTGTTTATTTGAGTATTGATAAATAATTACATTAAACGGCGGAACCATTGTCACAATTAGGAGGGCTCGGAGTGCTAAGCGTCCCACCCCCATTTTGAAATTTTAGCCACCCAGATTTTAAAGTGATTTAAAAAAACAATTATTATTAACACACTATTGTTTTTATGACAATCCTTGTACTGTTCTACACAAATATATTGTTATGACAGTCAAATTTTTGAAATTGACAATGGAAGATACTCTTACAAAAATTTAAATGTCGGCGGAAAATAATGTATTGTCCAGATGCTATCCAAATATAAAAACGATTAAATAATGAAAATAGTTTTATACGTACTTATTATCGTATAAATAGCTTCAACTAATCCATTATCGGTCACTTGCAAATCCGTACCATCTCGGTATATTTCTTGCCATAATGATTGGGAATACGACATACACTATACGAATTAATACTTTATTAAAATTAAAATTTAATACTTCAAATATTTTAGATAATAAATATAAAATAGAAAGTAAACTCAATTAATATATATTATTACAAGCAATACGTTTATATTTTCATAGATTATATAATTTAATAATAATATAAAAAAAACAATAGAATAGGTCTGTATTTTAAGATAAGAACATTTCATATTTTAGATTTTAACTTCAACGTATACAATAACTTAAACCATAATGGTCATATATAAAAGGCAACTTGCTCAACTTGCTTCCTGATTGTGATTTAATATGAATAAAATGAAAAAAGAACTCTTGATAAAATAACAGTAAGTACCTATAAGAACTTAAAAATTCAAATATGTGTATATATTATTAATTTAACTTAGGAAGATTAAAACTTATAATTTGATACACTTACAATTATAACTGAAAATCTTTTTAAAAAAATAGTTTTTTTAATCTGTTTTATTCAGTATTAACATACATCGTGATCTTTGTTTATTTAATTTTTACTTTTTTAACATTTTAACTTTAAAGCGTATTTTCGTACTTAAAAAATGTTAACCTTCACTACAATGGGAAATGGCTTGATATTACACTACAAAACTAATTCAAATTTTCAATTTTTAAAAAACTACTTAATTTTTTTATTTAAAATAATAACTATTAAATTATTCACCACAACCAACTACGTATACATATATAATAATAATATACTTATAACGTTTGTGACTTGCGTCGCTGAATATTATCGTCTCTTTATTATTACCAATATCTAATGTATGCTACTTTGCTACAAAGCAAAAGTAATTTAACTTAATCGGGATAACCGTTCGTTTCGTGAAAATTTGTTTAAAATTTTACTTAATGAAATTCGGATATCATGCATTCAATAGATATACTGGAATTCTATTAAGAATTATTAAATATCGTGCGACACCATATACGCTTTTAGCCGAGTATCATATCATTTTGCATTGGCACGCACACACGAGTCTTTAATAAAATCATCACTATACAAATCAACAATATTGATTATTGATTTATATATATATATATATATAACGATGTGAACAAAATATTACTGTAATGGTTACAATTGTGAAAATTTTTGAAATTACTATTTCATTTTTTGAAAGTAATAAATTATTCTAAACATCGAAAAATCCAAATTTGTTTGGGCTATGTTGTCAGATTCGTATTAATATACTATAAATACAATACTTAGCTATAGCTAATACAAATTCTACACGTGATCACGTAACTCTATACACTAGAGCACAAGGCTTACACAGGGAAGGATACAAAATGGTCTTTGCCTTATGTACCTACGATAATTATGTTACAGAATACTATAGAATATAACTTTTTATTAATATGATATAAAAATACTCAATGAAATAAACTATTTAGGTGGATACGATAATGTAAATAATTAATTCAAAATCATAGAATAGACTTTTTAATTTTTAAATAAATATTTTATTGAAACTCTCAGTTTTTAAACAACATCAACTGTTTTTATAAATTTAAAAAAAAAACATAATAATATGTTAACATATTATGTTATAATAGAATATTTAATATACCTGCCATATTTTTATCTCGAAATGTATCTTATTAATTGTGATTTAAAATGTTGAAAAGTTAAAAGTTAAAAATAGGGGCAGACTAAAGTAGTACACAAGTCGGACATTTTTAACACCAGTTTCAGTTTATATATATAACAAATTATCTTTTAAGCTTTCATTTATCATACATTTTTAAACCAACTCATTATTCTTTTGTAATTCTATAAACATAAATATGTTTACATGTTGATCAAATAACTAATGCAAGTGTATATTCATTAATAGCATCGTACATTTTACGGAGGATATTTGAATTTAAATAAAATTATCTGATTTTGATTTTGATCATGAAACAGTCCGACCTGGCCCTTTTCATAGATCCACCCCAGGCAAAAATAGAAATAAGAAGAACATTAAATGAGCGTTTGAATCATATAGACGCTGTAATTACCATGTATATCTGCTTTGTTGTAGATTTTACGAGACAATGTTTTACATGTGTATGAGAAAGTCATGATGAAACAGAGCATAAACCTATAGATCATAATCATAATATAATTTAAATTATTTTAACAACTATACTATAAAAAAAATTATTCCCATTCAAAATATACGTCTTATTTCTTATAAATTATTCAACTTGATTATTACAAAATTAATCCGAACCTGATAATAAAAGCATGTGCCTAAAGCCCACCAGATGGACCACTGAAGAACATAACGGTTTGTGAAAGCCGTGATGAAGTCGGACCACAGTCTTTGACACACAGTTTTAGGTTTGGATACATTAACATCTATGAATTATATATATTTATATATTTATATATTAATATATACACATAAGTATTATAAATGCAAAAGATGTATTTTAAGTACATAGCTGTATGTAAACTACTCTGAAAAAAAATGTCAAATCACCATGTTAGTCAAACTCCACAACCCTTGTCATTCATTTGTATTAATATTAGTATTTTAAAAAAAAGTCTGTACCTATAAAAATAAAATGTACATAAATACTTATTTACGCAAGACATAATACAACTGTAATAGAATTTTTATATTTTTTTAACTCTTCAACATTTATAAATTAAATTAAAAATATAATATTTTTGTTTGTTTTTATTTAATATTTAAAAAGCCATTTGATGGAAAAAAATTACAAGTATAAATATAGATTATTATATATAGTTAGTATAAGCAGGTCAACCAGTGAGAAAATAAATGTTGTATTCATCAGGATTATATCAAATTCTATCTAAAAGCACTATTTTACAATAATAGTATAGTCCATAATAATCAACAATGTTGTCCACCTTTGGAGAATATGTTTTTAAAAATATCCATGTACCTAATACAAAATTCGAACAAGTAGTTTCTCGGGTATTGAAATGTTTATGCCCAGAACATCGTCGCTAAAAATATAAAATAGATGTGATAACTGACATTGGATCTAGTATTTGTTACACTTGGACCATTTTTACAATTTAAATATATTGATGGATTAATATTAATTACTAAACATTTTTAAATCACTTGTTTAGACCCCATATTTTTCAAACCCATTTACATGGACCCAATATCCTTAGTACACAAAGTTCAATAACTCAAGTACTACTAGTCAGAATTTCGACTTTGATACGTCTACATTTTCAAAAAATTGATTTATAGTAGAAAAGGGGGTTCTCATTCAAAAAACATAAGTGATACGGCACCAGCGTTTTCGTTCTCTCTTCATCCGTACACACTGCTACTCTGACCAACGTCTTTCGTTCGTAAGGGTCGGATGGCGACCGAGGAACCCACCGCACCGGTGGCGCTCACATGTTTGGTTTTTGGGTGGGATTATGACGCGGTAAGCATCGAGCAAGTATCAAGTACAAGCACGATAGCGACCCGTCTACACTTTCCTCAACTGAATACACTGCCGCTCCGCCCTAAGTGGGAGGATATCGAAAAAATACGCACGGCACGGGATTTGAACCAGTGACTCACACGCAGGACTGCTGGACACGTGACAATGAGCCACCGCGATCATATCAACCTACGATATTCTCCCAGTTAGACCAGAGTGGCAGTGTGTTCGGACTAGGAAAGTGCAGACGGGTCGCTATAGTTCTTGTACTTGATACTTGCTCGATGCATACCAAGTCATAATAGTTTGTATCTCCACAGAACACTCTTTACAAAAAATCTCAAGAATTCGAAATTATGGTCTTTAAGTATACTTGAAAATTCCAAAATCAGATATGGAATAACCGCATTATTGAAAGAAAAAGAGGCGAGTATATTTTGTAAGTCACTCTACAAAAGTATAATTATGGTGGACACAACAACCATAAAATGGCTTCAAAAACCAGTTAGATATAGTAGCTAGATATTTAAATTAAATGCATAATGAACATCTCATAATTATGAAATATAAGAATATAAGTATTCTATACACAAGCCGCACATGTGAAAGATCATAAAGCATATCAAATACTAGGCATAATACATAGGTACCTAACAATTTAAGATTTTGAGCAGAGCAACGAATGCTAGGTTTTATAATGATGGAACAATGAAACAGAAAAATTAATCTTCAACATTAACGTTAGTTTTTGGTGGAAAATCTTGAAAATGGAGGAGGGTCGAAGGTAAAAAAATCCTAGCATATTTTATTAATAATTGAGAAAACTAAGAAAAAACGACACAGGAAAAGTGAATATTAACCCAACACCAATTTAATACTAAATCAATTTTGTATTTTAGCAGTAATTTAAAATGAAAAACTGCTAGGTTATACTAACCTAACTTTTTGTCCACTCAGAATCGTTTTTTTGTAAAAATTATTTATTATTGGACTCAAATTGCACATCCACAATACCTAGTAATAAGTGACACACTGATACTCAACAACCATAAACAGGGTTCGGGACTTATAGCATTTACATATCCATCATAATTCATAGGTGATGTAAAACATTGCAGAGTGATGTACAAATACGTTTTATATTACGGAGAAATTAAATATGAAATTTTATTTTGCATATTTTAGAGGTTTTTACACATTTTTTTTTGTTACACTGACGCATATTTAACGATTTTTAACATTGGCGAATATTATTGTTCAAAATGTATTAATTAAAGCTATCTGTCACAAAAATATTGCACATGAACGTGATTTATAAATACTCAATAAATCGAAAACCATGTAGTTATCTGAGATGGTTAATTGAAAAACGTCTGATATGCGTACTTATCTACATTCTTACATTCGTATCGCTCGGCAAATTATGAAAATAATCTATCTAGTGATCGATAAATTGCACAAGTGCATATTTTTTTTCAGAATATTCAAAACACAATTTTTAAAGATTTTACTTTTATTTTTTTGAATTTATTAATTAATAATTATAATTTAAATTCCAATATTTTTTATATTTATATGAAATAAATCCCTTTTTAGGTGCTTTTTTTCATTTTGAGTGCATATTTTTAAGTTTGTCGGGTCATATAAAAGTGCATATTCTAGTGTTTTTTAGTGCTATAAGTCCTGACTCCTGAACCCTGGTCATAATATTGAATATGATCAAAACCTACTACTCAACAGAGCGAGTTTAGAGTCTACAAATTTAGAGTGAGGACTAAACAAATGTGTAACTTGTTGTTTAAAATTATTCTTGAAGTTAAAGTTTTTAAAAATATACCGTCATAAACTCATAAACATTTTTTATATCATATCAATAAAGTAATTTGTGAATTAATATTTTAATTAAATATAAACTAGATATAAACTAAATATTGTCGTTAGCTGCATCTGATATATCTTATGACTTATACTATGCCTCCCTATTCTATAATTTTAGCTTAACTAGACTGTGCATTTTTCATATAGGTACTTATATAATTCAAACACAAACTATTTAAATTACATTTTTATTATTGGGTATTTATTTAGTCAACAAACGTGCATTGATCAGTGATGTAAAATATTAGTGTCAAAAACTATGCAAGGAATGTGCTAGGATTTTATTCTAGGTTCGAGCATGGAGCCAACCGAAAACATTTTTCAGCTATACATTTATCATCCAATAATTGACCGGGAATAAATAACCCGTCTCGTCCAGGATGACAATCCAGAACGTGGGTTAGCGTCACCATTGCTACCAGCAATCGGCTTCACTACTTGATCATGATTCAGCGACTGTGAACCTCAACACAACTTTAATAAGAGTAATATCAGCCATCAGATGAGTGGTTGTAGGTATCATCCATTAAAATCAGGAGATAATCATGAGACACCATGCCCCAAAGATCTGCGCACCTATCAGATATTCTCTTTTATCTAGTTCTACATGTAAAAGGCAGAAGAAACGCAAGGCACAGCAAGGACTTTTTAATGTCTTGTGCTGTCATAGTTTTAAGATTTTAGGAGCTAATTAACCCTAAAACCAACCCTCCACTGTAAAACATTGATATTGCATATTTACCATAATATGTCTATATCAAAAATGAATAGCAATATTTCAATATAGGTGTAATAATAAATATGCAGTACCTTCCTAGTGCACATTACATTGTTTTAGATTTTAAGCAAAGCGAACTAGAAAGCTATTAGTATTTATCAAATATTGTACTTTGAATGATTTAATTTCTTAAACTGTTCCAAGTGAATCTCAAAAAATAACAAACTAAACAGCAAAGCGTAAATATTCAACAACAAACAACAATATTAAACTCAGATTAATATCAACTTTTAAATTAACAATAATTGTCACGTTTACATACAACAAACGTAAACACTATTCAAAACAAAACAGCATAACACTATTCTACACTATTATACTAAGGTAAGCAAAATAAAATATATTCCCTAGATAGGAACTCACTTAAAAGCATTTTACATTTATTTTTAAATCCATGGTGTGTTGTATTAGTAGGGTATAATATACTTTATTGTTATGTATGTATAATGACATAATGACTATTGAATACATTGTGTCCGCAATAACTGTATACACTGAATATTTCAGATTAGTTGTTCAATTTTAATTGGGGTTTTTTTTTTGTTGATTTTGAATCAAAATACCAAAGTAATCAATACTCGTACTTTAGGAATATAAATTAATAAATATTTAAAAAATGTAATAGTGTGTTTTCTGTTTGCAATTAAAAAAAAAAGTAGACAATAGCGGTAAATGGAGAAAAACTGCAAACTAATCAGATGATTGATGCAAAGACAAAAGGAAATAGAAGATCAACAGACACGAATAGGAACTACCTACAATAATAGAAATACAAATTCATAACACATGACACAACCAACTACACAAACAGAAAAACAACCTAACTTGCTCACTACACTTCTTGAAAATAATACCACAATAACACCATATAACAGTATATCAGTTATTAATACATTTTTAATGCATTTACATATTAATTTTGTGCAAATTTTAAAGGTGACTGCAACACAATTTAACCACATATAATCTTCTTACCTTACCTAATAGCTATTGCTATCTTTTTAGTATATAACATAGTAAAAAGTGTCTTACATTAAACATATTTACATATCATCAGGCAGGTGAGTACCCAGGATTTTTATTTTATTCGGGAAGAGGGGAATTACCAATTTTCCTACTTCTTCTTACACACAAATACACAATTAAGACAATTTTGACTTTCATGACATTAACAGTCAGCAGTAATGAACTATTATTATTACTAGTAATTAATCAAATGTGACAGCCTATAAACGCTCGACCTAACTGCCAGTATATAAAACTAAAAATAATTTTCAATGAAATAATCGATTGGCGATTGACACAAACTTTTTCAGGCACAACTATTTTATAGTATCTAACATGATAATCAAATTTTTAAAAAAAAACCACCTTAATTGTAATGTATTTGTGACACAACAATAAACTGTACTCTGTTCAAAATAAGAACAGACCAAGGCGGTCAGCATCTGAGCATGTGCATGGTTTTGTTCCAAAGCACTGGTCTTGCACATTGACTTGGTAAGGGAAGTGTCTGACAATGCTTCTGACCTCTGCCGACAAAAACTGGCTGAGGTCTGTTCTTATATGTGAACATTCTTTCTTAACAGAGTATATAATCATGTATAATCTAGCATAAAAATAGTTTTGAGAGAGCTTCAGCCCCAAATCCACGGCCTTGGGTGTGCTACGGTCATCAGGTAAAGTAAACTATAATAATTCATCTTGGATTTTAAAATGTTATTGAGTTATTTCAAAATTATTAATTGTTAAGCGCTAATGTTTACTTCAACTGGAAAACTATTAGAAAATAATGCATTCTATTTATAAACAATATGTCATCTACAACTTTAAATCATAAGCTTATGAAACAAACAATAAAATAAGCCAGACATATCAAACATTGTATTTTATTGAAGAATATGTATTTTTTACCTGTACTATCTCTTATGTATGTATGCTCAGGGCTTTGATGAAAATATAAGCTACTTTTAATTGAAGGTAAACCAAAAGCCCAAAATATTGATGCAGTTGCACCTGTAATGATATAAACATAACAATTAATTCATAACAACCATCTACAAAACAAAATAAAAACAAAATGTCATACCAGCTAATGTCAAATGGTTTAAATGAGGTACAGTTAATATATGGTTATCAATCAATGTTTGAGCAAGCAATGCCGATACAAGTCGGCCTATAAGACATGCCATTTTCATGTGGCTGGAAACCGTTTTATAATATTTTTTATCTACTTTTGAGTAAACGTATGTATAGTATGCAACTTCGCAGGCAATCATGGTGCCATAAAATACTTCCATTATCTACATCAAACAACAGTTGTATTAGAATTTGTTATATTTGTTATATATATTAATTTATGATAAAATGTCTTAATGAAACTTATGTAATATACCTATAAGCCATAATTATATCATAAAATATAATATATTTAAAAAGTATTAAAATCACCTATAAACAGTATGATTAAAAAGATGTTATACCCACATGTACTGTACTCATATTACTAATGTATAGCATAGAACATTTTACATTCAGGAGAATTCAATTTACTCCATTATTTTTAATATTTGAATGATTGACTCATAAAAAATTTAAAGGTGTGAACATTATCTAGGGCCCCGCATAAGAATTTCATAATATTTTAATTTTTGAAGCAAACTTTAATTGATAATTTTAAAATTTAAAATGGTTTGTACATTATAACATTAAAATATAAAAAAAAACCAGGGCACTGGATAATATTCTTACCATCCTTGAAAATATAAAAATATATTTTTCTTTTAATATCCATGGCAGCTTATAATTAAAGTTAAGTTAAATATATATTAAGTATATATATATATAATAATATATATATTATATAATATATATATATATATTAAGTTAAATCTATTTAATAAGTTATTTACTACAAATTATTTTTAAAAAAAATGTATTTAATTATTTTTAAATAATTATTAGGTTCATGTAATACAAATAAGTACATTATTCTAAAAACAGTATTTAATTTACCTATAAGAATCTCTGAATTAATTATCAACTTAAATAGAATTAAAACAGCCTAATATCTGGTAATTATACTTTTAAATGGTTATTTAATGACTTACCCACCTTCATGTCAGTCTTTGTTCGAGTAAAAATCAAAAATATTTGAACAGTAAAACTTGATAAAGCATTCAGGATAACAATTGGTTTGTAACGTAAATAATCAGTAATCAAAAACATAACAATTGTTAGGCCAAGACAAGTATAAGTGGACACTGGAAATATTTCTTGAATTACCTTTAAATAAAAATATAATTAGAAACCTATAATGTTGTTGTGAATAAAATCTACTTTAAATATTTGAAATATTATTATATTAAAATACACTTACTTCTTGATTTGTAAAATTCATGGGCGGATTTGTTAAGTATTGAGTGATGTAAGGATCTTCGGGTCGAAATTCTTTCAGAAATCCAAACACAGCAATCCATATGGACTGAATTAACCATTTCTCCATTTTGAAAAATATTTTCAAATCGGTCCTCTAGTACATAGTTTTTCAGTTAGACAGCAGACCGCTGTTTAAGAATCACATAAAGCATTCTGTTGTACATGTATGTACACAATACTCGTTGTATTTAAACTTGAAAGACATGTCACACCATAATGTATTGTTTAAATCCATAATATTAACTCGAGTAGGTACCTATTTAAGATAAGATAAATAAATAAATACATAAATAGAAATATAATATTAATATAACACCTATTTTAAATCATTAAAAAAATTATGCAATGATAAAAACTACACTTTTTTAAATCAGACAACTTACTTTTCTCATAGCTTTATCTAAACATGACCTCGAATACCGATAATCGATAAAACATATATAAACTAAACGCGGATAAAACGATTAAGCACAATTATTATCTACTGAATTACCAGGTATAAGAGAAACATCATAAACAACAGAGCATTAACACAGAATTAATCTGTGTCCTATGAATTGAGATACAAAATATTGTAGGCACTTTCGTAGTTTCGTCGTCTCGTCTTTCGTAATTTCGTTACAATCAAATAAATGTGATTATGTTATGAGAACGGTTGTAATTTTTCGATAAGTGATAACCATGGCTATAGATACTATAGTATCTATAGCCATGGTGATAACCAATAACCATCTATACAATATGATGATGTAATGAATAACAATTATTAATAATAATATTATCCTATCTATCACTGTGAACACATTTATAGTAAAGTTGCACTATGATGAATAGAAATTAATACGCATTAATATTTTTTTTTTACTAGCCTTTATAAAAAATTTGGCTCAACATTAATATTATACAGAAATACAGAATACGACGAGGTGGATTATTATAATAATATTATAATTATATAACTATTATAATACCTATAAAGTATAAATTAGTTTATAATAAATTTATAGTAAACATCTCTCATCTTGTTGAAAACGTACTCGATGGTACGGTCTATGGCATAGAAAAAAGATTCTATGGTCTATGGTATCTATTTTTTTATATAGTATTCCATGCTTGGTATCACGGTCTTATCTCAATGGCATACTAGGCGGCCGACAGGCGGGTAAATAATAAATCAAGATTTTGAAAAAGAAAAATTCTATATTTATCGATACTTCAGAGTGAGTTCGAACCCGATCGATACGTATCGCTTGTAATCATTGACTTAATATTTTATTAATATGTCAATGCTTGTAATTGCACCATATAGTAACATGTTATGAACTGTGAATTGCTAACTCTATGAATTGCACGTGTAACTTCTTGAATGCTCAAAATTGACCCGATACCTATCGATACACTCCAAATTCTTCCTCAAAAATCTTGAATACCTAGTTGTGGACTGTGGTGTTACGGATATATGGACGTCACACATCCAATTCTATACGACATAATATTTAAGTTGTTCATGACATTCGTCGTGGTGTACAATATTTTGTAATCAGTATTGTGATCGTATCAGTAGTAATGATGGCCCTAAACAATTGTCACAATGACACAATATTATTTTTTAAATTTTACATTTTTTTATGTTAATTTTTCTTATTTCAAGTTATTTATAAAAAAATCGTCGATACAAACCGGAATAAATAAAAGTACACATCCTCATCGGAATAGCTACCTATTGTATAAAACCATATTCATGGCTTATGACCAGATTTGTGTGCAGCTAACACAGTAACAGAATTAAAAATGCTGAAATGTGCAAAAACAAATTTTTTTAGTAATTAATTATTACACAACAAATTGTTCACTATACGTAGGTACTTTGAATTGTATTTTTATTGCTATTTATTTTTTATAATATTATTATTTATTGCTCTATGGTTTGCATTAACTATTAAGTATGATCTAAATAAAAATAAAAAATTCAAACTGATTTAAAATATTTGATTAAAATTTAGCTATAAAGTATTGGAACAAATCTAGTTTAGAGCCCACTCAAATTTTTCAATTTTTTTTCGGAAACCTATGTATGTATTCATCGAGATTAGAACGATGGTGCAAAAATTAATTAGCGGAAACCATTTAGTTTTAAACTTATAACTTATAAGTTATAACCAAGAAGCTCACAATTTTCGGTGTTTTTTTGCATGCGAACAAAGCTCTATTTTGACGCTCTTATATATCTTATAATCTTATAAATTGTTCAATTATTTTTTTGAAAACTATGAAAATCAATGTTTTAAAAACGATGGTGCGAAAATAATATTTGGGGAAATCAATATTGTTTTCAGGAATAGGTCACAAGGACAAGGTAAAAAAAATTTCACTATATTAGTATATAATATAGTATTGTAGTGGGTCCCTTCGAATAACGGCTCCTGTCGCAGACCACCCCGAGGCTAAAATAGCCAATCCGTGGGGGGGGGGGGGAGAGTGCGACCCTTTCGTGGTCGCGGGAGGGAAAACATATAGGTACCTGCCCTCCGGATAGACGGAGAACCTAACACGTAAACTTAACCTTGTTCATTTAAGTAACACAAATATAGTGGCTCAAATGACCTCCCTTCGCCTACCGGCTCCGGTTGCCAAACTCCTCGTGATTGGCGCCATAGTATAAGAAATAAGAAGTATGATCAACACGAACGCCGTACGTACCGTAAGCGTGGCTGCGAAAGAATCCGAAGAATAAATGTATGTGTGGGACATCGCCTTATGTTTCTTGTTGATTGCCTATGTAAATTACGCATTGCCCCTTATAAAAATGTGAGCAGTTGTATCATTGAACATACTTCTTATTCCCATAGTAGTATAGTTGTATGCCTATACTATGCTCCGCGCGACATTAAATTAGTATTCCGTGCAAGCGTATAAACGTAAAATCGCAAATTTTGAAAGGCTATGACTTTCGAAACAATTGTTTCCGCCGACTAATTTTTGAGCCACGGTTTTTAAGTCGTTGTAAATTTGTAATACATGGGTCTAGGAAAAAAATTTGAGTGGGCACTAAACTAGATTTATGCTTAGGAAGGAATATTTTTTTATGTGCCTCCAGTTTTTAACACATTACAATTACATTATTACATGACGAATTGACGATGAGCCATCGCTAATAATAAACAGCAGAATTTCGTCTTGAAATGACGTGTCATCGAAAAAATTTCCGTTAAACTATCATTCACAAATCAAAAAACTGTTTCATATAGTTGGTTTTTTCAACGAATTGCAAGAAATCAGAAATGGAGTAGGCATAATTTCCGGATGAAGTATCTCAACAATATTAATCTGCAAATTGTATAGCCCTCTAGAATCAGTCGTTTCGTAAACCATGAAAAAAATTAAATTGTTAGTTCATTTTTCCCGTATTTTTGCAAGAGTAGATTTAAAACATACTTGTAAGTAATTTTTTCATTACGTACTTTTGTCTGGAATATTCTGTCAAACTTTTTTTTGTAAAAATCTTAAATGATGTCGACTGAAGTTTATTTCAAGAAATATCTGTGACTACCAAGGCATAACACATGCCTGTTAAAAATGTATTTTGGCTAGCCATGGCTGAGGTGCTTTCGGGTACCAACGATTCAACAATTGTACATTTGTACCGGATTACTCTTAAGGTACCTTACACTGCAGCGGTGGCGGTGGCGTTAAAATGAGTCCGAATGCAATTCACCGCCATCGCAGCAGTGTGTGTGGACCTTTATTATTTTTAGTAGCAGTCATGTGGCTTAGCCCCGTGATACCACTTTATATTATTTTTGAAAATGGATTATATGTAGTTTGTACCACTGTATTACTGTAAATATCTTGCGTATTTGTACGTAATGACTTAAATTAATTCATCCCATCGTGTTTCGTGATTTTTTCTCGACGAAAAATCGTTTGTAGTTATACCACTTATACCTCCACTCAATTCATAAGTAATACCACGAGTTATAGGTACAGTATATTTTTAATTTGTGAGTATTTAATAGTTATAGACTATAGTTGCATAATACTATTGTTTTATTCCTACGGTAAAACCGTTTTGAATAACTTGTATCTCAGAATATAATATATTTTGTTGTGTAATACCTCTTATCTAATTACATGTATTGAATGTATTGTTGTGTATTGTATTGTATTGTACTGTTCTGTGAATGAATGAATACCTACCACAGAAAAGATTAAAGCTAACCTCGTATTTCTGATTTCTGAATATAGTATTATGATGTACGATCTACAAACTTTAAGACTTTAGAATACAATTTTTGATCATATTTTCAATTTTTATTTCATACTTCTTAGTCTCCTTACTATATAGGCATTATTTCTTCACTAAAAACTTTAATCAAACAAGTATCTAAATTATTATGTTGTTTATAGTAAGATTAGATTCATGTATTATATTACTTTATTCAAGACCATAATATGTATTAGGTAAAAATGTACATTTAACTTGTTTAAAGTATCAAATGTAAGTTTTTTTTAGTTATTATTGAACTTGACGAGTCAGTCAGACAAATCATGATTATAAACAAATTCCAGACCAAGATTTTAATAATATTTATAATAGCAATGGAAAACGAAAAAGAAGACTGTTAGCTGATATAAATGAACAGATTAGAGAACAAACAAAAATAAAACGAATGCTTGGACCAAATTATACAGGATATCATAGAGAAGGAAAATTAGTATTCCTTACCTAAAACTATTCGTGAAAAAAGAACATTAAAACCTGCTTGTACTTCAATATACTGTGCTAGTTCAAAGGTCCGACACTGCAATCAATTCAAAGAGAATGAAAGACAATCAATATTCGATAACTTCTGGAAATGTAATTGGGATGAGAAGAAAACATATTGCATTAATATGGTGTCGAAGCACATAAAAAAACAAGAAACATTAGTTGCTGGAGAAGGTATAGTAGAAGAAACTTCTCTTACATACATCATTTGAAATCTGGAGATGTTAAATTTGTGGTATGTTTCAAAATACATTAGATCTTAATGAATGGATGGTAAAAAATTAGCTGGATTCTTCTAATCAGGTTGGTGAACTTTCCATAAAAAAAAGAAAATGACTGGTTCTATTGAAGTAAGTGTTGATGAATGTATGAAACAAAAAGATAGAGCCCAGAAAGGGCTTACTAAAGATACACTTGAAACATATCAAGATGAAATTTTTCCTCGAAAGTCCATTTCAATGAAACATGACCACTTAAATTCTTGGTTTGACAGTTTAGCCAAAATGCCCAGCCACTATTGTAGTCAGGCAACTAATAGGCTTTACCTTAAATATTTCTAAAATGAAAGTTTACTCTGCTTATTTACAAAAATGTGTTGAAGATTCGATTGAAAATCCATTAAGTAAAAGTATTTTTTTCTATATTTATGAAAAAAAAGCAACTTAACAATATTTCAATCAAGAAAATGTATGATATCCCAAGATTTGAGTGACAAATGTCCTAGTTATGGAGTAAATCAGGTAAATGATGATGATTGTGAAAAGCATATAAAACAAAAAGACAGAGCCCAAGAGGAGCTTACTGAAGATACATTTAATGCCCAAGCATATAAAAAAAATGTATTTACTATGAACTGGCAGGCAGTAAAACTATGTTCAGCATTTAA